TAGACTGACCCATCCCATCCAGGAACAATAGTAGTGTCGATTCAATTTTAGGTCATGGTTCATGGGCCCAGAGCTTGGAAGGGGGTGGGGAGGAGGCAGGGAGAAGGATGGTAAGGAGGCTGTGGAGGAGGGGGGTAGGAAGAGGGGAGAAAGTGAAGCGTGATGGGGCCTTCCAGAAGAGGCACTGAATGACCAGGAGAACCAGCCCTTCCCCCACCTCCTCCAGGAAGCCTGGCCTGGGTAATTCAGCCAACCCAAACCCCTCTCCTCTCTCAATGAGGGTATTGTCTGGAGTAGGCCTTTGGGAGCCTGGGAATGGTGGAAGCTTTGAGTCAGTAGGTGTGTTGTGGTCATCTGGTCCATCCCGGAGGCATGAGTCATCCCAGCAACATTCTGGACAAACACCCCCGGTATACACCAGAGCCATCTCGGCCTGCTCTGCAGCAGCCCACCTTGTTGGGAAGTTTAATGTAATTTGGCAAAGCTTTATTAAGCACCTTGCGCTGGGTGCTGGCCACTGCCCTCAGCCCAAACCCCACCCTCCTAGGACATCTTTCCCGGGCCCCCTCCCCAAACCCCCCAGGGCCTTCCCTCGGACTAGCTCCTATCTGCACTGTACAGATGTTGTGTGTGAATGTGTGTATTCATACATACGCACATACGTATGTCTTTGCACGTTACCTCTCCCGTTAGAACATGAGCTCTGAGGGTGAGCATTGTGTTCTGTGCCAGCACTAGGTCAGCTCTTGGGTGTTCACTGAGGGAAAGAGCTGAACAGCTGGGGATTGGGAGGGCCAAGGAAGGCTCTGTGTGGAAGAGGAGGGCGCTATGGCCATGAGCAGGAGGGGACTCCTATATAAAGTCACTGAGGCACCGGTGGAATGTCAAGGCTGAGGGGAAAGGAGAATGGTGGGCAATCAGGCTGGAAAGGCACGTGGAGGGCCTTCAAAGCCAGGCTTTGGAACTCGGACCTTACCCAGGGGAGTCACCCAACCTTGCTGAATGAGGAATGAGAAGGCGCGAGGCGGCTTGGAAGCCATCCTGAACCCTGGGGTCCAGAAGACGTAGAGGATGGACCCGGCAGTCAAGGGGCTTAGGAAAGGATGGGGATACTTAGAAGGATCCAGGTATTGAAGCTTGGGACTGTTTGCTGCTGACAGAGGGAAATGTGGCTTCTGGTTGGTGGGGAGATAGCTGAGTGGGATGCTGCCTGTCTGTGTGAGGTTCTGCCCTTCTTGGGGGAATCAGAGAACACACTGGGGAGCTGGAGGCTCTCCTCCAAGCTTGGAAATAGTAGACATCTAGGCACTCAGTGGCACAGTGCCCACCCTGGAGTCAGGAAGACCTGAGTTCAAATCCCACCTCCACCCCTTCCTAGCTGTGTGACTCTGGGCAAGTCACTTTACCCTAGTTGCCTCAGTTTCCTCATCTGTTAAGTGAGAGGGTAGGCTTAGATGTTCTCTGAGGCTCTCCCTGGCTCTGAGTCTTTGTGGTCTGGGTGTGTGTGATCGCATCAACACCAGCCTCCGTGTTTCTAAAGGAGCGCCTCAGAGGACCCCCTCAGTGGGCTCTGTGGACCGGAGCTGGTGTTTGGAGCCAGAAAGGGTGGGCTGATGGCTGGCACCTTTCCTCATGATTCCAAGATGCTTTTTTCCAAACCCTCCACAGTATGAGCTCATCCCTCAGATAAAAAACAAAGGCCCAGCTGCTGCTGCCCCCTCAGCTTCCTGCTCTGAGCATGTGGGGGTTCTTAACTGGGCCTCGACTCCGGTGTGTGAGGATAAGCATGAGCTCAGAGACTCAGAATAAATCTGCCTCCTCCCCCAGAAAATGGGAGCTAGCTCCAGGCTTCCCAAGGGCTCAGCCTCCAATGCATAGAATTCAAGCCCTCCCTCCCTCCCTAGTCCCTTCTCTGTCAGATCGCCTTCCATCTGCTCTGTCTAGATTCCACAAGTAAACTCCTCTTTGTGCGTGCCCCCATTAGAACATGAGCTCCTCGGGGGAGTTTCTGCCTCTCTTTGTTGGCCCTTAGCTGAGGGCCTGGAACACAGTAAACACTTAATAAATAGTTACTGAGACAAAGATGAGATTGTCCCTGGGGCTTCAGAAGAAGAATAAGGGCGTGGACACAACTGGTCAGTGATTCAGGAAGGAAGCTGACCCTTGACTCTAGGGTCTGAGCAGTAACTGTAGCTAGGGTGGGGCCTGAAGGAAGCCCAGCGTGTGTGTGTGTGTGTGTGTGTGTGTGTGTGTGTGTGTGTGTGTGTGTGTGTGTGTGTACATACATACATGCTCGAAGGGGAGAGCCGGTGTTGGCGTGGACGGGAATCCCAGACCTGACCAGCACTCAGCTTGAGGGGCAGCCTGGGAAAGGACCGTAGAAGCCACTGAGAGCAAAGGAGAAGACTGAGGTGCAGAGCACGTGAAAGTCTTGGTCAAGGCCACTGGTTGTCCACAGAAGAGGCAGACCTGGACTCTAGGTTTTCTGATGACTCCAGCAGTCTCTTCGATGGACCACACTGCCTCTGGGAGGCACAGTTGTCAGGCAGGGAAAGAACGTAGCTGCCAGTCTCCTTCTGCCAAGACACAAGCTTTTTTCTAGGCTTAGCCTCATGAGGTCTATCTGCCCCCCAAACCAACATCCCATAGTGCACTTCCCACCCCAAATTTGCATGTATTTTATGTATATTTTGACAATAATAGATGGAACTCACACACTGCTGGCAAGGTTTGCAAAGTGCTTTCCACAACCAGAGATTAGGCTCTCTACTTAGCAAGTGAAAAAAGGGACTCAGAGGTTGTGGGGTACTAAGTGTGGGTGGATAAGCATCAAGCATTTGCTCTGAGGCCAGATTTGAACTCAGGTCCATCGTGGATCTGGGGCTGGTGCTCTATCCACTGCACCACCTAGCTATCCAGGGTTTCTTGATCCTAGGACCAATGTTCTATCCACTAGATGGTGCTGCCCCATTTCCAAGCTTGCATTCCCAGCAGCCTTTCAGACATCTTGAATGGGATATCCAGTAGAGATTGTAACCCAACCTATCCCAAACCCAACTCATGATCTTTCCCTTTTAATCCCCCCCTCCCCTTGCCCCCCCTTCTGTTACTATAGAGGGCACACCCTCCCCCGGCCCCTCAGGCTCACAACCCAGGAGTCACCCCTGACTCCTCCCCATCTCCCCCGCCATCCAATGTGGTGCCATCTTTGTAGCATCTCTCGAATATGCCCCCTCTTGCCTCCCCACTGGTGTGCGTCTGGACTATTGCAATAGTCTCTCCCCATTCTAATCTATCCTTCACCCAGTCTAATCTTGTCGCCCCTGCCCCCCACCCCACCCCATTCCATAAACTTGTGACCTCCAGGATCAAAAAGAGAATCCTTTGGCTTTTGAAGCCCTTTATACCTCGGCCTCCTCTTGTCTTTGCAGTCTTCCTATAATTGATGCCCTCCACATCCTTCGCCACTCAGTCACACTGACTTCTTTGTTGTGTCTTGCTCAACCCTCTCCATCTTTCCCCTCTGTTCATTTTCCCTGGATGGCCCCCCAGGGCTGGAACTCGCTCCCTCCTCTGTCTCTGACTCCTGGCTTCCTTCAAGTATCAGCCAAGATCCCACTTCTGCAAGAAGCCTCTGCCGATTGACAGCACGCACACTTAGCCCGGTGTCTGGCACAGCAGGCGCCCCGTAAATCTCTGCTGATTTGACTTATTCCCTCCTAGCACCTAAGCTTGAAGGCAGGGGCTGGTCCCTGTGCCTAACAGATAGCTTGTTGAACGAGTACCTCACCTGTCAATTGACCGAAAATACCCATTTTAGAAGTGAATGCCTGTTACTGGCAATTTGGTTCAACAAGCATGACTCGATGGGCAGGACTTCCAGCATAGAGAAATCAGAGACGGCCACATTCTGGAGCGACTGGCTTCCAACAGGGCTGAGCTTCTAGGGCTCTGGAAATTGTGGGGAGTTTCCTTGGTCCTGAACAAACACATTCTCTTTTGTTCATTTTTAATTTTTAGGCAATTGGGGTTAAGCGACTTGGCCAGGGTCACACAGTTAGTGTCAATCAAGCGTTTGGTCTGAGGCTGGATTTCAACTCAGGTCTGCCTGACTCCAGGGCCGGTGCTCTATCCGCTGTGCCACCTCACTGCCCCTCCACAAACATGTTCTAATCCAGTACCCAGTAGCTGTGTGATTGGGACCAAAGTCCGAGATTTCCTCATCCACAAAATGGGTACAAGACCCAGCTCACTGGGCTTCACGGGTAAGAGGGCTCCGGAATCCTGGGCCTTCTTCGTCTTGAGGACTTGAGGATTTAGAGCTGGACCGCTCTTAAATTTTGTAGACAAGTAAACCAAGGCCCAGATTTAAGACGACCATGCAGTCCTCTCATTGTTCAAGGCCTCATGTGTCACGGACCTATGCTTGGAAGGCACTTCAGCACCATCCAGCTTACATGAAAGGACTCTCTGTGAGAAGCTCCAACGGGATTCTGGCCGGGGGCGGCAGAGCCCCGATTCAAAGCCAGTCTTAACACAGTTTAGGAGTGTGAGCTGTCATTACTGATGCTATGAGGAGGTGAAGGGTCTTAGCAAGGAACAGGACTGGCAGGCCCTAGACTTGGAGGCCCGTTTGGGAGAGGCCACAGCGGCTCCAGCCTCCACACTGGCCCTGGGCTATAACACATTCCTTCCTCCTTGGGCCTGGTCCAGACGGGCAGAGCCCTCTTCTCCACTCAGGCCTCAGGCACAGTCTTCTTCAACCTCTAGCCAAAAAAAAAAAGGGGGGGGATGGGGTGGGGTGGAGGGTGGGATAATTCTGTGACTCCAGCCACACACCAAGGATATATCATTTTGGTTTTTAAACTGGCAAATGTCTGAGCTACCCAAGGATCACCGCACCTTGGATTTCTACTTAATAAAAATTCTATCAACAGCCTCTAATAAGTTCCCAGAAGTACAATACTCTCATATTTTGTGTCACAAACCACTCCGAAATGTGCTAGAAATAATCTTTATTATTATTAATGGTTATTTATAGAATACAAAAAATTAGTATGTCCATTTAAAAAAGAGTAACAATAATTAGTAAAAACATCACTTGTTGTCTTAAGAACAGGAAGGAGAGAATACAGAAAAACACACAAAATGATTAAGAGAGTTATATCACTGACCTGCATCCCTCCCTCTGCCCAGGAAAAGACCCAGAGAATCCCCTCACTCATTTACAGCATCTTGGCTCCAAGCTGCCGGGCAGCTTTTGCCCACAGGCAGCTCAGTACGAGGGATCTCTTGGTACGCTCCCTGCTTAGAGCATGACAGCTGCCACCGGTGCCACCGAGGGTGGGCACCAGGTCCTGCCGGCTCATGAAGATCTCGACATCCTTCATTCATTTTTTAATAAAGAAAGCTCCCACTCAGAGAAGGCAGCACAATGCCAAACATCTGGGAGAGGCTGAGAGAGCACCGGACAGCTTACATCGGGTCACCTTTCCCAGCAGCATGAAGGGAATGCAAAGTAAATTCCAGTGATGACACTTGTCCCTTTCCCTTAAGACACATTTCCTTTAAAATATGAGACTAGTAGTGACAGTAAAGTCTTGAAAGAAATCCCAAACCCAGTTCTGACTGCAACAGGGACATGTTCTCCCCTGTTGAAAGGTTTGGGCTGTTGGCCATTTTTCGGGGGGGGGGGAGGAATCAAACAAAATGTGACTAGAAAACAAGTGTTTTCCTTAAATTAAAATTTCCATTCAAATTGTGCTTAAAAGAGTTATGGTGTGGCGTTAAGGCCTTAAGTGACAGTGAATTCCTCCAGCTGTCCAGTTTGAATACAGGGTGGCAGGGAAAGCTCTTTGCTGACCAGCCAACCACACCAGCTGGACCCCCAACCTAAGGGAGGTCCCTGAACCAGCCTGGGGAATCCCAATGCTCTCGGCTCTGTGGGGCCCTGGTGCCACTGATGTAGGCCCTGGCTAAAGTGCTGGAGATCCTGGTGTTCCCAGAAGCCTCTGGTAGACCAGGCGGGTACGTGGGCCTAGGGCCCATGGGTGGTACAGGCTCAACCCAGAAAGCGAAACCTCCTTAGGGTTGAAAAGGAAATTGCCTCTTGGTTGACAACAGGAATTCCAAGCCCACCTGAATCTGCCCACCAGAGTTCCATCAACCCACCCTTGTCCCAGTCTTCTGTCACACAACAGCTGGCAAGCAGAAACTTGCCCGAGGAAAGGCTGTGGCATCCTGGAGGAGCTGATGGAGAGCATATGTGCGGGGGACTGCTCTCCCCAGCCATCCGGCAGCGGCAGCGAGGGCAAGCGGGGCGTGAGCTGAGAGCATCCAGCAGCAGCCTGGGGGCCTGGTTCCTCCCCTTCCAGGAGCCCCAAGAGGGAGTGTGACAATGTGTTTAGCAGAAGGAATGTGGATGATGTAGATGCCAAGCCCGCTGGGGTCAGAGAGGGGGATCTGAACCAGCTCTACTGCTCTGATCCCCCCCTGGAGGATTCTTTGGAGGCTGCTTCTCTCAGCTGGCTTGTTCAGACGGTAGCAGGCACTTTGGGGAGGCACAGAGGCCCGGGGCACAGGACAGCAGACGACACTGGCGGAGACCCTTACCCTGCCCAAGCCAACCCGGGTGGTGAGGCCCCACAATCACCCAAGGTATTGAACACCAAGTCCCAAGTCACCCGGCCACAGACGCACAGAAGAGGGAATCACATACATAAATTAGAGGAATAACTTAGCAGAGCATGGGGCTGTCCGTGCGTCTCTTGGCTGCTTCCCCAGCCAAGGGTGGGACAGACAGGAGCCGGGCCCCAAACACAGTGCTGGCTTCGCTTCAGGCAGGGTGCTCTGTTCTCTCTCCCCTTCAGCCCTGCTCCAGACTGTCCGTGGGCTGGACCGCAGCATATGCTGCTGGGCCCAGGGACAGCTGGCGACTGAAGAAGGAAGTTGTACGTTTGGGTTTCACACGCTTGATCTCCTTGCCTGGAAATTGAGAGGCAGGAAGAGATTTGGCTCAGCGGGGGCCCAGGATGGAAGAGCATTTGCATGGGGCCGCTGGCAAGGTGCCAGACCGCTGTAAGCAGGAGGAGCAGGAGTGGTCTGAAGGTCATTGTCACAGAGCACTGCGCTCAGACAGAACTGCCTTGGACCAATAGCTTAGCTCAGTGCTACTCCACGGGAACACGCCGCCCCATCCCCCTTTCCTGTCTCAGCTTGGGGAGAGGGTCCACAGAGGACTGGAGGTGACAAGCTTTAAAAAGGAGAGGAGACAGGTGTGGAACTGAGGTTTGGCTGAGAGCAGGGATTTGGAATATTCTGATAAAATCCAGTCAAGAACGGTACATTGTCCCTGCACCGGCCTGGGTATGCTGAGACTGGGGTGAAATCAAACCGAGAAGCCTTTCCACTGGTGAGGGCTAATTAGAGCAGCAGCCATGGGGGACTGTGGCGTCTACTTCCCTTCCATGGGTTCGGTGGAAACCAAGGTTACTGCAGCGGGCGTCTGAGAATGAGATGGGCTTTCTAGAACACACCTCAAAATCCAGGAACAACAGGCACCTGACCAGGGATGGAGTGTACCTGACAAGGGGCAGTTAGAATATGACTGCCGGGGGTGTCCCACCAAAGATAATTAAAAGAGACTTAAAATGAAAGGGAAGGAGAAGGGAGAAAACTGACATACCCAGACCCCACCCGGCCCCAAGAGCCCGGGGGGGGGGGAGAAAGCAGGAAGCCCTTCTCCTTTCTCCGCCCCAGATGGACACTGACCCCCTCCACGCCCCACACTTGTAGGAGGGGAAGCCGATCAGAGGCCCTGGTCTCCTATGACACTCTAGCCCAATGGGCCTCCCAATGGGTGGGAGTCAGGAAGACTAGAGCTCAAATCCAGCCCCAGGTACTGTCTGTGTGACCCTGGGCAAGTCACTTGACCTGTATCTGCCTCTGATTCCTCAAATGTAAAATGGAGATGACAGCAGCACCCAGATGAGAAAACATCTGTAAAGCGCTCAGCACAGTGCCTGGCACACAGCAGGTGCTTCATAAATGCTCGCCGACTGACTGTTCTCACCCATACAGAGGACCTGGTGGCTGGAGCCCTGGGATCGAATGACTAATCACTCCATCTTAAGACTCTGGGATGGGGGAGAGGACAAGCAGGCCCTGCCCCCCCAGACCTAGCCTGGAGAAGGGAGGCCTGGGAACGGAATTAGGGAAAGGGGAGGGTGCGGACCGGCCCAGGCTTCTTAGAAGGCAGGATCAGGAAATTTCTTAGGGGAAATTGTGCCTTGTTCCTGTTAAGTGAAAGGGGAGTCCTTGAGCACCAGGCGGCCGAGGCTGAGGCTGGTACGGGGACTGAGAGCTGGCAGAAGACTCGGCAGCAGTGATGGGGGCAGGAGCAGTCAGGTGACAGAAGGCTTCAGCTCAGATTCCCCAAAGAGGATTGCCACACAAGCAAATGGCATGGTATGGAGCAGCAAAGTGGCACCATGGATAGAGCACCAGCCCTGGAGTCAGGAGGACCTGAGTTCAAATCCGGCCTCAGACACTTGATACTAGCTGTGTGACTCTGGGCAAGTCACTTAACCCCAACTGCCTCACCAACAAACAAAACCAATCAAAGAAAAATATGAATGTGAATAGCATAGCACCTTTCCAAGGCCCCTTTTAAGGGTGACCAACTGTCAGTTCGAAGTGCCTGTGAATGATGTGGGGCTCCAAGTAATAGGCACAGAAGCTGTGTGTGTGTGTCCCCGTGTCCATTCTCCCCCTCAGATGCTGCGGCCACTGGTTAGAAAGTGACCCAGAGGGGCAGTGAGGTGGTGCAGTGGATAGAGCGCCGGCCCTGAAGTCAGGAGGACCTGAGTTCAAATCCGGCCTCAGACCAAACACTTGACACTTACTACCTGTGTGACCCTGGGCAAGTCACTTAACCCCAATTGACTTAAAAAAAAAAGTGACCCAGGCTTGGGTGGACTGTTAGGTCCTTCTCATTACTGCACTGGCTTTAGTGAGTGCCTAGGACATCACTACTTATTTTGTATTTCATAAGAGCAGCTAGAAGCCCAGGGCAGGTGACAGAGGATGAAGATGAAAGCACGGCCAGGCTCAGTAAAAGCGATCTGAAGTGTGAAGACCCAGAGGTACCGGGGGAGTGAAGAGAAGGTCCGCCAAAGCAGAGATTTTGTTTGAGCGCCAAGAGGTGTGTGGAAGGGCTAGAGCGGCTCAGGGTGGAGGGCACGAAGAGGAGGCGAGCCGAGCGGCCTGAGGCCCACTTTGCTGCCAAGAATAATTTTCACACTGAACAGAACAGAACAAAAATGGCCAGTTAGGAGATGCTCCCCAAGACAAGTATGGCGATGGGAAGAGAGCCCAGCAGCCCTCGAAGATGGCTAGGCAGGGATAGTGGACAGGCAGGGATGGACCACATCCTCAGATCCTGAAAGAAGTGACCAAGGGGACCGCGGAGCCACTGTCTGCGAGACCGTTACGTCTAGGCGACGCGCCACAAACACTGCATGCAGGTGACCAGTGAGAATGGAGGCTGCTGGTGGTAGACCGGCGAGCTCTGCCCACCTCTGGGATTGGGAGGGTGGAGGGGCTGTGGGCATGACAGAGAGACAGAGAGAAAGGAGAGAGAGGAAGGAGAGGAGCAAGGCCGGTGTGGTCAGGCTCATCTGGAAGAGGCCGAAGGGCCCGGCTTAATGGGGGGAGGGATGTGAGCATGGCCCAATGCTGTTCATCAATGGCTCAGACAGAAGCTGGGGGGCAGGTGCGCTCCTCAAATTTGCAGATGCCACAAAGCTTGGGGGGGAATGGCGACCCTACCAGATGACAGTCAGAATTCAAGAAGATCTCGTAAGGCCAGAATATTGGGCAGCATCTACTCGAATGCAGTTGAATAAAGGCACATGGATAGCCTTCGACTTGGGCTCAAAAAGTCAAGCTCCCCAGCAGAGGATGGAGGTGGGATGGCAGTCCAGGACCCTACGCCTGTGTTGGACAAAATCTGGACATTGCCCTCTCCCCGCCAGTGCCAGGCATCCTACTTTAGAAAGGCCACTGGTGGATGAGGAAGAGCAGATGGGGAACATGCTGGGGACCCCTTTGACGGTGCCACTGGAGAACTGGGAAAGGCCTGGGGACATTTACCTGGGAGAAGAGAAGACTCTGGGGGGGACACAAGGAGGTGAGGGTGTCAGAGGGAGGGGGCAGCTCTGTGTGGTCACCAGAGGGCAGAGCTCGTGGCAAGGGAGGCAAGTCGTGAAGAGGGAGTCCTGGCCTTGGCCCATTGGCCAACCCCAAGTGGAAGGGGCTGCTTTGGTAGGTCAAGACTGACCCTTTACATGGAGCTAACAAAAGCTGAAGAGGATGTGTGCCTGTCCAGCTCCCTCCCCCCACTGCCCTGGATGCCCACGTGGCTTGGCTGCGGTTCACTGGTCTCTGTCATCCTCTTTCCTCCTGGTGGTGGGAAGCCCACCCCCCACCCCTCCTCCCGCTCACCGTCATCCACATAATCGATGGTGGCCAGGTGCTGGGTCCGGCTGCAGACTACACTGCTCTGCCTCTGGAGCTTATGGCGCTGAGAGGCGGTGGGTGGCTGGGGGCTGGCGGCGGGGCTGACCTTTGTCTCCTGTGCCAGGGTGGGCTCCTTGGCTAGGCTCAGCTCGATGCAGTACTCGATGAGGCCACTCATCAGCTCTGCCTAGGAAAGCCGAGGAAAGGAGAGGGCAGAGCAGGCTGGGAGACCATGGGAGGTGGAGGCCTGGGCTAAGGACACCGAGCCAGGTGGGACTTGGGAGGCACAGAGGAGACCCTGCACCATTCACAGCTCTCCGAGCCTGTCCCCATCCCTGCCCACAGGGACTCAGAGGAGCCTGCTCTGTGACAGGAGCCAAGTCAGCTCATGGCCTCTTCCGTAAAATGGGCCCGATCACAGTTTCACTGTCTACTTCACAGGGTTATAAAGCTATGCAATCTTGGTTATAAACCCAAGTGTAAGTTAGTATGATTACCACCTTTTACAGGGAGGGGGACTGAGGTGAAACACAGAATAAACAAGATCATGAAAGGAGGGAAAAAAACTCACAAAACCTCCCAAACTGCCGCAGACCAAAGTGGTCTCCCATTGGGCCAAGGCTTCCTCCCCTGGCTCTGATGGAGCCTCCTCCAAGCTGGCAAAACAGCCAAGAGGCCGGAGAAGGGCGAGGAGCAGGACCTGAGCCCTTCAACACCCCAGGGCTCCAGAGGCAGGAGCCACTGTGAGCGCCAAGGTGACCCAGAGCCCTGGCTCGGCCCGACTTTCCTCTGGGTACATGTGAGCAGGCCCCCAGAAGCGGAGCCCCAGACATCACAGCTGCCAGGCTGGGCTCCTGGCCCCAGAACCCCAGGCCACCTTCGAGTTCCGGGTAGCCTTGCCCTGACCCTTCCAACGCTCTCCTGGAGCGGGGCTGATGCCACCCAGTGAGAGGCAGCCTGGCCCTGGCAAAGAGCCAGAGGCCCTGAGTTCCAATCCTGGCCGGGGGAGGGGGACTTTGCTGTGGGCCTGCCGGAGGTTTAGCTACAGAGTGCCGTGGCTCTGCCCCCTCCGCTGAGGCCGCTACCTGCTTGGAGTAGACCTTCAGGAGCCTGTTGACAGGCGTGCCCTCACTCTCCCCATCGAACTCCAGCCACAGGATGGGCTCCTCATCGCCCGAGCAGGTGTAGTCCCAGGACAGCTCCTGGAAGCGCAGGCCCAGGAGGACGTGCTGGCAACGAGACAGGGAGGGAACGGTCCGAGGTCACGGCCACTGACTGGGGACAGCCCGGGAGGCCTATGAGGAAGTGCTCTCCTTGCCAGTGGCAGGGTGAAATTTTGAGTTAAAAGAGAGGAGAGCCCTGCGGCTCTGGGAGGGCTGTGTCCTTCAGAACCTTCCGCAGGATAGCAAAGAAGAAGGGGGGTAGATGTGCGAGGGGACACAAAAGAAGCCGTGAGGCAAACAACAAAGGCTGGGGAACGGACTGATGCTGCAAAGGGTCACGTGATCTCACCTGAGCCCCACAATCACCCTGGGGGTCAGCAATGCGGCAGTGGGAGGGAATGTCCAAGGCCCGTCAAAGTGTCGGACAGAGCCCAGCACCGTCGGCTGCCGTGGAGCGATGGGCAGAGCACTTTGTAAACTACACCGGGGAGGCTGTCTCCCCGGGCCCACTCCAGATCCTGACAAGATGCAGGGACCCCCAGTGTGGGCCCCAGCAAAAGTGTACCTTCTCCTTGGTATCGATGACGTGGACGCCCTCCAGGTTGATGGCCACGGTCACGGCCTTGCGCCCACCCCGGTGCAGGAAGCCTTGGGCCGGCTTGTCGACCTCGCCACAGAAAAATGCGCACCTAGGGGGCACAGGGGTGGCCAGCATTAGTCTTGGAGCCTCGCCACCTCAGAAAGGCCCCTCCCCGTGACTCACCCATAATAGGGCAGCTCGTGGCACTTGAGTAGGTAGGCCCGGTAATGCCTGGTGAGCAGCTCAGCCTCTGGGCCCTCCGCCTCTTCCTTCACCTCCTGGTAGGCACTCAACAGGCCCTGCTCCCCGGGCACCAGCTGGGGTCCCCGGCTCCGGAAGGCTGTGAAAAGGCTGTGAGGCCGCTTGCAGAGATGGGCAGGCAGGAAGGAGTCAAGCTTCTCTCTAGAGGGCAAGATGGGCACTGTCGGGGTGGGGCCACACCTGCAGCCTTGCCAAGGCAGCAAGCCCCCAAAGCCCTTGTGGGCATCAGGCCACGAGGCTTCCGTCTGCCACAGCAATACTGATATCCTGTGCAGGACAGCTTTTGGCCTCTGGTGGTCAAACTGAGGGCACTGCCCCCAGGCAGGACTCCTTCCCCCCTGGGGAGGTGACCCCCCGGCAGCCCCCAGGAAGAGAAGGCTTTCTGAACATCCTGTTGTCATCAGGGCCGGTCTCTACTTAGAAACTCTGGTAAGCGGGTGGGACATGGCCCAGGCTTCTGCAGGTGGGGAGCAGATGGCTCATCAGAGGGAGAGGGGACAACGTGGAGAAAGGCAGTGGCCCACAACTGGAGAAGGCCAAGGGTTTAGGGAGTACAGGGCTAGGGACAGGCAGGCCGCTGCCGGAGGCCCAAGGTCCCTCACTGAGCTGGCCCGGCCTTGGAGCCTCAGGTGTGCATTAAACTGAGGAGACAGGCAGCCCCTCAGACCGTGAGCGTCCAGACCCCAGCCAGGGCACATCTGATCCTGCCTCCCTCAGAAGATCAGGGTTCAAGTTCCTTGCTGGGGTCTCCTCTGAGCCTCACTACTTCACCTAGGTCAGACCCCTCTGGTGGTCTTTCTGGCGAAGCCTGGGGGCCTCTTTCCTCAGAATGCTTTTAAATACTTGAAGGAAATGCTAAGTGTCAGTTAGAGTGGGTTAAGAGAAAGTATGTACTTCCCCTTCAAGTTCAATGAGCCCTGATCAGTCCTTACTTCACGGCACAGGCCATCTGCTGGCCTTGGCGGTAAGGCCCCAGTTCCAGCCGGCACACCAGGGCCCCGAGCTTCTCACAGTCCTCCACGTCACAGGGATAGCGCACCTCCAACACATTGAACTTGGCCTCTTCATACAACAGCCTCAAGATGTCCTCATTGTTGACCTAAGAAGCAAAGGGTCCTCAGACAGAGGCCTGGCCCGGGAGGCCAGAGCAGGGCCATGGGAACATAGGAAGAGTGGAGGGAGATGGGAGAGAAGGCACAGACAGAAAGCACCTTGGGGAGTCTGTTCTGGGCTCTGTTGGGGCCAGGCAGTCTCACCTGCAACTCCTTCCGCTTTGGGAAAAAGACATTCCTTCGGAACTGTAGCGAAGGCTCATCTGGGGACAGAGACGAGAAAGTCACTGGCTCTGCCCTCTCCCCAGATGCCCCAATTCTTTGTCCAGCCCCGTTTCTCTTGTTCTGCCTTTGCTCCCATCCCACATTCTTGCCTCACGTACCACGATTTATTAAGGGGACTCATTGGGGACACTACGGGTGATCTTTTCCTGAGGCTCACCTCAGGGGGAAGGGACGATGGCTAGCCTTTGAAATCATCTGCCAGCTGCAGGGGCAAAGAGCTTTCTGTTCATCTCAGGCCTGCTCCACCAAGCCTAGCCCGGCTGTGGCCTAGCTAACCAGCTGGCCGCCAGAATGTCCTGGGCTCTGGAAGGTTTGGGGACGAGGCCAGGAGGGACTGTGGGGTTAGGCTCCACAGCTACAGGTCCCATGACGTGGCTTGGGCTTCACTCGGGCTAAAGGCCAACACTCCTGCATTAGCGCATTGGACTTATTTCAAGAGGAAACCTGCCCCTGCTAACCTGAAATGGAAAAAGGAGGAAGGGAGGGCAAAGAGAAGTCCAGGGGTGTGAGGAAGGGAGGTGCTACAGACCCACAGCCATGTCATCCTCTGGGGCGTCCGTGAAGCGAAACAGCAGGTCTGGCCACTGCCGGCACACCTTGTATGGCTGGTGTTTGGGTTTCAGCTGCACCTCTGCCAGAGAAGCAGAGAAGGGTACTTCAGTGGGGTAGCAGCAGTGCCTCCGGAAGGTGCAGACCCCTCCCTCCCCTCCCAGCTCCCTCCTGGCTCCTCAGGATGCCTCCAGCAAGGCTGAGCTGTGAGGAGAACAGGACAGGCCTGGGTGGGGGGTGGGGGGGTGGCTCAGGCCAAGCTGAGCCGAGCCAAACCCTGCAAGGCCCCGCTCTCCAGAAACCAAAGATCAGGCAGGCCTTTGAAGGAGCAGCTCCATGTTAAATGTATTGGCCCAGAACCCCCCTCCTCCGGCACCTGTCTACACTGTCTACATGGGAGGCAGCTGACTCGAAGTCCTGTTGACACCTGGTCAAAGTGATTTTGTCGTCCAGAATTTGGGCGCAGTGGAAAAGGGCTTGGATTTAAAACGAGAGGAACAACAGGGTTCAGATCCCACTGCTGCCTCTTTCCTGCCATGTAAGCTCTCGGGCCTCAGTTTCCTCCTCTGTAAAATGAGGGGCACAGACTCAATGACCCTGGAGGCTCTTCTCCCCAGCACCCCTTCCCCGCAACATTTTACTCTGCGGCACTTCCTCCCCCAGGGGGGCCCTGTTCAGATCCTCAGCTCTGATCCGCTCTCCCCAGCCCTCTTTCACCTCCACCTGCTGCCCTGCTGCAGCTGCCCAGGCACGCACAGCCTTCCTGGGAATCTTCCAGGCCTCCAGCTGGTGGCTGTCCTCTCCTTGGCCTTCAGGGTCCTGCCCCTGCCCCCAATTCCCCCTAACATGTCCCCAACCCCCTTCTTCTTCTTTTTTTTTTTTGCTTTTTAGGCAACTGGGGTTAAGTGACTTGCCCAGGGTCACACAGCTAGTAAGTGTCAAGTGTTTGGTCTGAGGCCGGCTTTGAACTCAGGTCCTCCTGACTTCAGGGCCGGTGCTCTATCCACTGCACCACCTAGCTGCCCACCCCAACCCCCTTCTTCAGTGCTTTCCGATCTCCCCAGCCAAAAACTTCTCTCTAATGGCCTCGCTCCCATATTCCCCAGCTCTAACCTTGTTCCTTTTCCCAGGGGCCCCTAGGGTCAAGCTGCCAGACTTAGTTCTGTGGTTCTGCCACCAGCATCTCCCTGGAGAGGAGGAGCTCCTGGGGGCACAGCCCTGTACACAGTGGGCCCCCTATGGCTGAGTCATCGGGACACCTGGGCCCTATGCTGGCTGCCCTGCCCGGGGCCCGAGGCTAGGAGGTGGCCGGGTCTGATTCCACTGTCATCATCTTTCTGTCTTTGAGTGTTCAGGCTTTCAGGTGCTAGTTCTTTTCTTCCCACCATCCCCAGGGACCTTTGCCCCCGATGCCTCACTTGGCCTCTCTGAGCTGCTGGGCACAGCCAGGGAAGCCTGCTGATGCCACACTGGGCAGTCAGTCTGGGTCTCGGCTTGTCGGGCCATGAAGTTGTCTCAATGCTCGCTGTGAGCCTTCCACTCTCTTTGGTATGCCCAGAGCCAGGGAGGAAAAGGAATTCCAGGGGGAGCAGAGTCAACCCACGCCAGGGTGCCTCAAGTCAGACAAGTGGTGGATTCCCACAGCTGGAGAGTCAGGAATGTGCCCAGAGCTGGGGAGGGGGAGGAAGGCAGAGAGGTGCAAGACAGCAAGGGGAACGTCAGCCAGCGATGGCACGCCCCCACTTTTCCCTCATGGTACTGTCTATGTAGGGGCAGAGCGGAGAGGGGAAGGGGTTGGGCGGCTGGCAGGGGGAAGCCCCACCCCCAGGGCCTGGAAGATGGAGACAGGCCATGGGGCAGGTAAGGATGAGAACTGGGGCTGTTGAGGAGGGCAGACCGGTGGGCAAGGCCCCAAGGAGGGAGCAGGGGGAAGAGAGCGTCTGGCCCGGCTAGCCGCCAGCCAGGCTGCCTGACTCCTCCCAAACGACTTGGTCCCTGACAGACGATGGCCCCCGCAAGGTGGCAGCCCCCCTTTCTAATTCCATGCTGGTCTTTGGGGCAGGGGCCGTCAGCCTCAGAATCAACAAAGATGACCAAAGTTTGAGCTCCAGGGCATGGTATTATGAAGGCCCCTGCGGCCCCTGCTTTGAAATGGGTGGCTTATGCCTGCTCTACCACCTGGAGGGGCTGAGCCCGCCCCCTCAAGGGGAGGGCAGGTCTTCTCTAGTGCTAAGGCTCCATCAGCTCCTGCCCTCCTCCCTCAATGGAAAGAAGGGCAACCTAAGGGTGCCGAGACGGGGGACCTCTGAGATCATCTGGTCCCCCTCTTTGGGTACAGATGGAGAAACTGAGCCTCAAAGAAGTGACGGGAACTGCGCAAGGTCATATATCAAAACAAGAATTTGAACCCACATCCTTGGACACCAAAACCAGAAATAAAGCAGACCTCCGACTTCTAAGGCTCAGGCCTGGCTTCGCCCTCACAACAACCCTGGAGGAAAGGGCTATTGTTATCATCATCCCCATGAGTCAGACAGAGTTCAAGTATCTTGGGCAGTTCTTCCTGCCTCTGGGTCTGTTCTCTGCATAGCCCCAGGACCTTGCAGATCGGGGCTGTGGAGGCAGTAACAGACTTGGGAATATGGCCCTTCCCAGGCTGCTGAGAGGCTCGGAGACAGAAGTCTGGAAAGTGCTTTGCAATCCCTGAAGGGCTCTGTTAGCACCCAAGACCTTCGCTGTATTTCCAGTTCCCACACCTGTGAGTCATCCATGCCCCTACCCTGGGTGCCCGCTCTCTGTCCCACTGTGCCCCTGGAAGTGGGAGTGATTACTTTCGCAGCCACTTTGGGCTTCATTCCTGGGTCCAAAGCACCCTAAGCTCACCTCCAGGCTCCCCACACAACACTGGCAGGGGCCTGGGAAAGGCCTTCCCTGTTAGCTGATTTGCCGAGGTCTCCACCTGAAGCCCGAGAAAATTACATCCAGATACAACACTTTGTTTCCAGAAATAGCCCTTTCCATGTTCCAATTCATAAGATCACAGGTCTAGGGCCTGGGAGACCTCAGAAGCCACAGTCTTCCCCCTCATCTTACAGAGAAGGAAACTGAGGCCCAGAGAGGGGGAGTGACTGGGCCCCACAGGCAGTGAATGCCAGAGGTAGGATTCAAACCCAGGGCCACTGACTCCAAAGCCATCCAGCTGATAATACCCAAGGGTCCTTACCAAGCAAGGGTGAGATAAGCCACAGGGCAAAGGCCTCTACTGCGATGTCAGGGAGCTGCAGGGCCTCACGGATGGTGCGGTGAAGGTCCTGGGCAGTGATGGAGGCCACATTCTCCACGGCCAGGGGCACCACTGTGTCGTCCATGAGGTACACGAGCACGTCAGCCGCTGTAACACAGACCAAGGTCATGCTGCTGCAGCCCCAGCCTCTTGGGGGCAGCCAATCCCTGAAGACACCCGCCCCGCCCCGCACCCTGTCAGCCATGCAGCTTCCAGCTGCACCAGCTTCCAGCTGCACCAGCCTTGGAGACCCGGGGCCTGCTGGGTAGAGAGGGTCTCTGGGCTCTTCCGTGAAACCAGCCCTGCTCCCCAGAATGGGCACCTCTTGCCAAGCACCCCCAGTGTTTAGCATGGTGCCTTGCATATAGTAGGGACCTAATTAATGCTGGCTCACTGATCAAAGGAGCTCAGCCTGTGCCTGCAAAGGCCTGATGTCTGCCAGCCGTGTGAGCCTAGGCAAATCCATGAACCTTCCTGGGCCTCAGTTTACTCATCTGCAAAGTGAAGATCTTTGCAGTCCTGACCACGCAGAGCAAAGAAACTACTCTGTAAGGCTTACAGTAGTACAGCAACGTCTGCATGTTTGGGAGGGCCACAGCCCCACTGTGTGACCTCAGCAAATTCACTAGCGCCCCTGAGCCTTTACCTCTTCCCCCATAAACTACGAGTGATGTCAACAGTCAGTGATGGAGGGGTGCTGGGGAGATAGGCAAACACATGCAGTCTTGAGGGAACTTGGGCCCTGGCCCCTCAATTCTGGCAAACCCCGTGGTGTCGTACTAGAAGCCGCTGAGTTGTGTGGCCTGTCTGCCCCGCTGACGCCAGTCTGAGCCCCCACCCCAAGCGGCCGACAACAAGGGAGCCTTGAGGGCAGGAGAGCAACAGCAGCAAACAGTAAGAGGCAAAGTGGGCTCCGTGGGGGGCAGCTCCACAAACCGTGAGGATGGTACTGGTGATGTAAGAAAATGTAAGTTCAGAAGCCTGAGAGGTGGAGGGAAACCGTGGGTACGGACACCCAGCAATATGGGGAAGGACACAACGGGGAAGCTGCCAGCTGGTCACAAGGAACAGCAGAACTCTGGTCTACATGGTGGCCAGTCTGCCAGGCTGAGGCTTGGCCTGTCCACTCCTCTCCAGGGAGGCTTCTATGGGGGAGGATGGTCACTAGCAAGTGAGCGGGACGGAAAGGAGAGATAAATACTCCCCCTCACCCCAATCATGTCCAGGAGAAAATACGAGCCCTGTGTTTGGGCTTCAAGGCCCTTCATCAGCTGTTCCCTCCCACCTCCCTGCCAGTCTGGCCTCTGAGCTCCCTCTCCCAGCTCCAGGCCTTCTCTCTGGCTGTGCCCTCCCCCAGGCCCTCCTCTCCTCTGCCAACTGACCTCCCCCAGTCTCCGGAAGCCCTCCCCAGCCACTCTCAACTCCAGGGCCTTCCTCTGCTCCTTATTTCCCGCCTGTCCTGTCTGTAGCTGATTTGCATAGGTCAGTTTGCTCATCAGCCCCCTCCTCTGATTCTCAATTTTTACCTTTCTTTGTGCTGCCAAGGCCTGGCACACAGTAGGTGCTTAACTTAATGACCTTTAAGTATCATTTCCATCCAAGCTTTCCTTTTCCTTAATAGCATAGTCCAAGTCTCAGAGATGGGGTGGGGTGGGGGGCAGATGCCCCATCTCCAGCCCCCACTCACCTCAGTGGGAGTTAAGTACCTCCTGCCAGGGGCCACTGCCTGGCCTGTGGGTGGGGATGCAGCACATGGACACCAGATGATTTGGGGGAGACAGCACGAACAGCTGGCAGGCAGGGATACTCAGAAAAGCTTCACAAAGGAAATGGCCCCTGAGCTGACTCACCGAGGAAGCTAGGGATTCTCAAAGCTGGAGGGGAGGAGGGAGGGCATTCCAGGGTTGGGGTTAGCCTGTGCAAAGGTGTGGAGATGGGAGATAGCACCAAATCCAGGGACCAGTAAAGAGGCCAGTTTGGCTGAAGAAGCCACACGTGAAGAAAGTGTGGCCAGACTGGTGGGCGGGAGCTGAGCTGCACGGTCTGCAGTGGAGCCTGGGCCTTGGGCAGTGGGGGAGGATGGAGAAGTCAGAGACTCAAGGCCGGGTGAGGGGTCATCAGGGTTTGGATCCCGAGTGGAGACAACGAGCCAGAGGCAGACAGGCTGAGAGGGAAGGAAGGTGACGGGATGATGGAGGCACTGAAGTGGGATGAACACAGGGATGAAACAGACCCCTGGAGGCCAGGAACAGTGGCCGGGGGAGAGATGTCCATCGGCCCCCAAATCAGCCTGTCCGCCAGCCTTTGGGAGAGGCCTCAGTGGGCTGAGGCTGGGGGTTGGAAGGAGTGCAGGAGCTGGCAGAGATGACACCCTCCTCCTCCTCCATTTTCTGCTTCACTTCTCGAGCTCCTCGGGCCTATTCCAGAGTCTGGCCCTCTGGGGGCAGTGAATAAATGCTTGTCTGGTTCAATTGGTCCTCAGGGCCAGGGGTGGGATTCCAAGCCAGGCTAATGCTCTACTTGGGGTTCATCTGTGGGGAGCAGAGGAGCTCACCAAGACAGAGTGAGTGCAGGAAGAGCAGGGGCCTAGGGGCAGGCATTTAAGACACACGCCCCAGGTGCCTGGGCAGAGCCCCATCCATCAATCCTGGCCAAATGTGGAGTGTCTGAGTGCCGAGTCAGCTCACAGAGGCCCCAGAAGATCATGGAACGAGCCGTGTCGGGAGCCGCACAATGCCCTCCATTCCCCTGGCTGGGCGGGAGACTTCAGCAGCTCAGGGACCTGGGTTCAAACTGCTTGTTATTCACTGCTCACGTGACCTTGGATCAGTCTTTCATCTCTCCGGGCCTCAGGTGCCTCCACAGAATGAGAAGCCTGGATGGCCCTGAAGGCCTCTTCTAGCTCCAGATGTGACCCTATGACTCGTTCCACTAAAAAATTCCCAGTAGCCGATAAAGGGAAAAAAACCTTGGCAAGACAGGAAGGGTCAGGGAAAGAAGGTGCCCTCTTGGAAAGCCAGCTTTCCCTACAAAGGACAGGGCAGGACTGACCAATGACACAGGCCAGCAGAAGCCTTCCAAATCACCACCAAGAGAGGAAAACAAAGGAGGCCCTGGAGAGCTGGCCGCCTGGAGGACACAGAGAACGAGGGGGGAGAAGAGCCAGGCCCAGCTCCCCAGATGCTAAGCCTTGCGATGACTCAAGTTCTCCTGTAAAATGGGGACAATCCCAGCTTTGTGAAGCCCCACTAGGGCCTCTATGTAGACATGCCCACGGCTAAGGGGGGGGGTCAGCCTGGAGGATGCTTGCAAACTGGACTTTTAAAATCTTACCCGACCATGAGATGATGGGTAAGTAACGACGACGATAAATAATGATGAGAGCATGCACCGACACGGCGCGTGAAGGTTTCCCAGGTGTTTTACGTTTTCTCACTGATTCTCACAACCACCCTGGGAAAGAGGTGCTATTACATATATCTGTTACACATAAAGAAACCGAGGCAAGCAGAGGGGGAGTGACTGGCCCAAAGGTCTAAGGCAGGATATAAACTGAGGTCAATCAAGAAATGAACATTTATTAAACACCTCCTATGTGCCAAGCCCTGTGCTAAGCCCCAAGGATACAAAAAGAGGCCAAAGATAGGCCCTGCCCTCAAGGAGCTTACACACACATACGGGACTCCAAGGGCCATCCCACTAGCCCCCCATCCCCAAACTTCCTCCCTAGTCTCTCTTTTTCCAGCAGACGGACCCCACTCCTGGCCTCTGCCTCATCTCCTCTCCCCTCCCTCCCTCACTTCTCACCCGCTGCGGTCACTGGTCAGACCCTGCCCTCTCCCAAGTCGCCCCCCTCAGCCCCTCTGGGGCCTCAGGCACTCCTCTCGGGAGATTTCGTGACCCTGCGTGCCCCTTGTTCTCCTCCCACCTTCTGGGCCAGTTCTCATGCTTCTCTGCAGGCTCCTCGATCATCACAAGACTCTCTCCTGGGCCTTCTCTTCCTCTCTCTGTGACCTCATTAGCACCTGTGGGTTCATTCCCATCCCATGCAGATGACTCCCAGATCTCTGCATCCAGCCCTAACCTCTCCTGAACTCCAGGCCTGCCCATTAATGTGAACTGGATGTTCTAGAATCATCTCAAACTCAACCCGTCCAAAACAATTCGTTATTTCCTTCGTCTGGACTCCTCATCTCCCATCAGCGGCCAAGGCTGGTGGACTCCCTCGCTTCACACTGTCTCTCCTGTCTGCCCCCTTCCCTCGGGTCCCTGGCCTCTCCAATCCCCTCCCCACAGGTGCCAGGCCCTCTTCTGCCCAAGTTGCTCCCTGTAGTCTCTAGAATCAAAAAGAATTCTTCACAACTGGCCTGACCCTCCCAGACCTCCCACGCATCACTCCCGGTCACACACTTCATTGTCCAGCCTGACTGGACACGAGCTCCCATCACTGCCAGGGCACGCGCTCCCCACCCTCCCCTCTCAGGACCCCCAGTCTCTCTCAAAGCTCAAAGATCCCTCCTACCGGCCTTTGCTCATCCTCCCAGCAGCTGGTCCCCACCCCCCACAAGCAGCTCTATTTAGGGACAGGGATGGATTGGGATTTGGAGGTAAAAGGACTTCTGTATGAAGAACTCCCAGAGTGAAGGCTTGATGCCAAAGGAGGAGGGGAAGAGGACCCACCTCGGGCTCCCACGGAGGACACGCTGCTGCGATGGGAGCGCTCTGCTGGTCCGGGCGGCCCCGAGCCCCCCTCGCCTCCTTCGCTTCCCTCCATCTGCAGAGAGAGGAGCGGGTTAACAAAGCTAATGGCCAGCACTTATGCAGCGCCTACTGTGTGCCAGGCTGTCACCGTCCCTTCTCACAGAGGAGGCACGGCCTTGAACCCGGGGCTTCCTGACTCCAGGCCCAGCCTCTAAAGCTACTTCCCAAGCTGGGGGGGGGGCGGGGGAAATGGCCGGTCCAGAAACCGTGGGGGGGGCGGGGGAAGGGCCAGGGCTGGGGCGGGGGGAGGGGGGGCTCAGGACTCAGTCAGCCCAAGCCCCTCATTTGGCGGGGTGGAGCTGAGGTCCACAGAGCACTGGGAGGGAGGAGGGTCAATGCCAGGCTGGGGAAGCTCGAAAGAGCCTTTGGAGAGGATGGGGGGGGGACCAGAGCAAGGCTGAGGGCTGGGGGTGGCGGTGGGACAGATCGAGGCTGAGAACTGGGAGGGGGAAGAGGAGTGGGACCAGAGCGAGGCTACGTAAGAAGTGAGGCGGGGGAAGATGTCAGAGCGAGGCTGCAGAGTGGGAGGGGGACCACCGGGAGGGGGAGAAGAGGGATGTCAGAGAGAGGCTGAGGCGGACCGGGCAGGGAAAAACCAGCTCCCCCACCACGGAAGCGGGCAGTCGACAGTTGAGTTGGAGGTCGGGGGCTCCCACCCCAGGACGCCGGGGATCGGTCTCCCCGTCTGCCCCACTGGCCCCAGAATCTCACCTCAAATCGGACCGGGCGGCTTCGGGTATACGGAAGGGACTGTAGCAGGAAGCGCCAAGCCCAACGGTTCCCGCCCCCTCGGCTTAAGGGAGCCAATCTGAGGCCAGAGATGCAGCGCGTGCGCATCTCGCTGGCGCCTTCGGGAATGTTGGGTCCCACCCCTTAGGCCTCCCACGTGATTCTGCCCGCAGGGCACTTTGGGTGTTTTGAGTGCTGACTCTGGTCTGGAACCTGTGGGAAAAACACCATTAGACTGGGAGCTAGCTCATCCTTTATCGTTCTGGGTTTTCTCAGCACCTCTGGTGCAGTGGATAGAGAGCCTGAGTGTGATAGAGCTGTGTGACCCTGGACAAGTCACTTCACCCTGTTTGGCTCTGTTTCCTCATCTTTAGAATGAACTGGAGGGACAGCTAGGAGGCGCAGTGGGTAGAACGCTGGCCCTGAAGTCAGGAGGACCTGAGTTCAAATCCGCCCTCAGACCAAACACTTGACACTTACTAGCTGTGTGACTCTGGGCAAGTCACTTAAACAAATTGCCTAAAAAAAAAAGAGAATGAAGTAGCAAATCATATGACTTAGGCACAGGTTATATGAAAAGCATACATTTCCTGGTTTATGATCAGAAAAGGAAGTGGACTGATCCTGTACCCATCAGGGTAGGGGATAAGAGATGGATAGCCCACGTGCTGCTTGTATAGCCACAAGATGCTGAAAGACCTGCAGAAGACTTCCAGAGTGCTGGGTAGATCTTTCATGGAAGATTTGTGAGAAGATATGGACAAGACTCACATAAGATTAAAAAAAAAAGAAAGAAAGCATGAATGAGAGCAAAGAGATAAGAAGTCAAAGAAGATGAATGGTTCTCAAAAGAATTGCATACCATCAGCCACCAAATGAAAGACCTCTAAGACACTAATAAAAGAAATTCAAGCTAAAGCAACCTGAAGTTTCATTTCATACATCCCGAGATAGAAAAGACGATCAAAGATGTTAGTAGTCAATGCTAAAGGGCTGTGGGAAGACAGGTACTTAAATATATTGCATGGGTATCATCATTATGGGAAATAATTTTTAATTGTGTGAGAAAAATCACTACAATTGCAAAGGGCCTGGCACACAGAAAGCACTTAATAAAAGTTGACTGATTAATTGACTACTACTGAACTTCTGAAGTGCACCAAGGTATTCAGAGCAGCCGTTTTTGTGGTAGCAAAAAACAAAAAAGAAAATGGGTGTCCATTAATTAGAGGATGGCGAACAGGTAAGCCCATGTCATTTCTATTATTGTTTCTGTTTCCTCACAAGTCACAGAAGAACGTCTTTAGCTGTTCAGGAAGGAGCTGTGCATGGTTCCAGTACAGTTGATAGTCAAGAAACAGGAATTGAGGAAACTTGGGGCAAGAGACAGAGTCACTCCTGCCTGGAAGCTACTGGCTGGACTGGATGAACCTCTGTCCTCCTTCCACAGTACAAGTCATTCTCTCTCCTAGCCTTCCCTAGTGGATGGGTGAAACATCAAAGGAAATACCCGGAGGGAAATACCCTAGTCTTTGTTCTCAGCTCCCTGCCGCCATGAAAGGTCTCAGTGTAGACACTGAGCTATTTCACCAAACAAGCTCTGAGGTAAGTGGTATCTTCAGAGGCAGGATGAAGTCAGTCAGCCCTAAGGGAAGCCAAGCACGGGAAAGTCTTTGATATCAGCCTTCAGCTAAGAGGAGGCTGCAGCTCCCTTAGTGGGACTAAAGCTCTATGGGGGAGAACCTTTGGGGTGAGGATTAGGAGAAGGCTCAGAAGTGGGCCCATTCCTCTACCCATGAATATGAGATCTTTGTCCCTTCCTTCGTGCTTGTCCTCCCATCTGGAAGACACAGTGGCCTAAGAGAAAGTGTGTAGGGGTATGTGAGCAAGGAGAGACTGGTGAGGACAGGGCTGGACCACAGGTTGTAAAATTGGAAGGGACCCCAGAGACCATCCAGGCCAAGGATTTGTAACCTTTGTTTGTGTCATGGACTCCTCTGGCAGCTTGGAGAAACCTGTGGTGAAGCCTTTCTCAGAATCATGGTGTTTTTTAAAAAAATTTTTAAATTAATTTATTTTGATTTATTAACAATCACTTCCATAAGCTTTTGAGTTTTAAATTTTTCTGCCCCTCCCTCCCCACCTTCCCCCCCAAGACCTCGAGCAATCTGATATAGGTTCTACGTATACATTCCTATTAAACGTGTTTTCACATTAGTGATGTTGTAAGGAAGAAGCAGAACCAATAGGAGGAACCACCAGAGAATCATGTTTTTAAATGCATAAAATATACTATATAAGATTACAGAGAAATCTTATTATATTTAAAGTGTTCAAATTATTTTCAGAATACAAGGTCAGGGGTCCTAGCTCAAGAACCCCTGATGTAGTCCAACTTTTTCATTTGTAGATGAGGTAAGAGGCCCAGATTGGCTAAACGGTTCACTCAAAGTCCCAGCTAGTAAGTGGCAGGGTCAGAATTTGAACCCAGATCTTCTAGCTTCCCGTCCAGCCAGTGCTCTGGTCCTCAGGGCCAGTTCAAGCATTCAGCAGAGTTCTGATGGAGAGCTAACTCCCCTCCCTCTTCAGCGTGTTCTAGGCGAATCCGTGGGCCCTGGGAAGATGGGGAAGACAGTGCCCCCTTTTCTCCCCATCTGTGTAGAGCAATAATAATGTTCATAGCTCGTGTTCACAAAGCTGCTTTAAGTTTTCCCCAGCAGTTTACCCACATTAGCTGATTTCAGTCTCATGACACGCTTGACGGTGTCTTATCCTACGGGTGGAATCCTTCATGCCCTTTTTATATCGCACAAAAGTAAGGTTCAGAGTGTGACTTATCATGATCACACAGCAAATGTCAGACAGAGGGTGGACCCAGGTCTTCCTGAGTCCACGTGTAGGGCTTTGTCCCAACACGGCCTCCTTGTTCAGCTCCTCATCCATCCGTGCTATTCTTAAAGCACAGGTCTGACCAGGTCACTCCCCTATCAAGAAGTCTCAGTAGCTCCCTCTTGCCTCTGGGATGAAATATGAACTCTTCACAGTCTGACTCCTGCCTACCTCACAGCGGGGATCCCATTTATCTCTCTTTCACCCCTTCTCCCTTCAGGCCAATGCAGCCTTTTTGCCATTCCACATTCCTGGGGTTCCATCTCTCCGTGTCCCTTGCATCTCCCTCCTAGAATCCTTTGCTTCCTTGGAAGCTGAGCTCAAGGCCACCTTCTCCAGGAGCCCCCCCCCCCGCCCCGGTTGCTAGTGCCCTCCCTCATGAAATGGCTAGTTTGCATTTACTTCTGTGAGTGCCATTGTGCAAAGAACATGGGTACACCAATGTGCACCAGTGTCCTCCAAAGAACAGCCCTAAAAGAGGTCATCCCCAAACCATGTAATCAGAAGAGAAGACAGGTTGACGTGTGGTAAGGGCAAGGGGTGGCAGGTGGAGCTAGGGTCCATTAGGAAAAGCCATGGAAGGCCTGGTTCTGTCCCTTACTACCTGGGTGGCTTAGGACAAGTCTCTTAGCCTTTCTGGGCCTCAGTTTCCCCATCTGTAAAACTAGGGGGTTTGACCAGATGGGCCCTTAGGTCCTTTCCAGCTTCAAAGCTATGACCCTCCAGGCAAGGAAGCAGGCCCAGAAAGGTTTGAGGGAGGTCACATTGGCAGTGGTTGGCAGAGCTGCCTGGCAAACAGGGTCAGGGCTCCTCGTCCAAAGTATCTGGTCCGGGGCTTTTGGGGAAGAGAGGTTCTCTGAGAGCCTACTATCTGGCTACTACTCCTCAAGCTTCTGGGAGGCCCTCCCCCTTGTTTTGGGCTGTGGCTGTGCAAAGGTCAATTGGGGAGCCTCAGCCTCTGCATAGAAGGTCCTTCCCCCTTCCAGGGCCTCCTTTCTTGCACAAGGCCTGTGAGGCAGGCAGGCTTCAGACTCGAGAAAGAAAGGTTGAGTCACTCCGACCTCTGGTGGGTGACTCCAGTGGATGTCCCACCCTCTGTGCCTCCAGTGAGTTGGCATTGCCATCTAGTGGCTCTCTGCTCTCTTGACTGTCCTGGTCAGTCCCCTCGAGGTGAGCCTCCACCAAGCTGCTGATGACCTGAGGGGAGAGCAGGGTGATGTGAATGGGGAAGCGGAGCCTCGGGAGGCAGAGGTCAGCTTCCGGGCTAGCCTGGGATGGGCCTGCCACGTGGCTAACTCCTTAAGGATTTCCCAGGCAGGAGGCAGGATAATGCCGAGCACAATTGTAACCAGATATCCGGTGTGCTTGTGAGGAAGAGGGTTGCTTCCCTCGTGGTTGAGAGCCTGGAGCCAGGAGGCCGCTGGGAAGCCTGATCATCTCTCTGTCCCTGCCTCTGAGAACATCTCAGTTTTTCCTTCTCTTCTTGAACTTTATCCAGGCTTTGTCCCTCCTTTCAAGGTCCCTGGGCCTGGGCAGTGGGCCATTTCTCACCCCCCTCTGCACCTAGGTTTAAACATTAGTGAGAAGCTATCAGCTCAGGCCCAGGGGAGGAGCTGAGTTACACTTGGGCCAGCTTCTCCCCCCTTCGCCAGAGCCCCCTGGTTCCTGGCCCTGTGTGCCTTGGAAAATGCCTGTGGAAGAGTTTGTGGCTGGCTGGATCTCTGGTGAGAAGTTTTTTCTTTCTCGTGTGTCAGAGTACCCTTCAATGGGGCATCACTGTGTGGGGTTTGGGAGAAAGAGAGAGAGAGACAGACAGACAGAGACAGAGACAGAGGAAGAGAGAGAGAGACAGAAGATGAGAGAGGAGAGACAGAGAGAATGAGAGAGAGGAGAGAGAGCAGAGGAAGAGCGACAGAGAAAAAGAGAGAGCAAACGAGAGAGAAAGGAGAGAGAGAGATTGGTGAGGGCTGTGTCCCAAGGCCAGACCTAGTGTGACAAGCGCGATTAGACAGAGTGCTGGCTGGACTCCCTGTGTTAAAAACGGAATCCACCATTAGAGAAAAGGATCGCCCTGTCCTGGGCCCCTGCAGTTCTTCTGTCTCCCCAGCCACCCCCTCGCACCACCTGAAGATGGCCCACAAGAGGCCTTCTGGACAGGTGCCCCTGAGGGCAGGCTGACTTGGGATCTTTCTATGTTAGAGCCACAGCTGTTGGGACAGCAGGAAAAGGTGGCTGCTTTTCCAACTCTGAACTACGTTCATCGTGGCATAGATCGGCTCTCCCCAGTACCTTGGTGAGCCCCCAGGGCTTCTCATTCCACTCTCCTGCTCAGTCTAGATGGACTCTGGGAGATGGGGAAGGTAGATTGGACCTCAGGCTCCTGGCAGCCCTGCCCCCAGAGCTGTGGGCATCATCCGTGAGTGCCAGGGCCCTCCATCCACTTTCCCTGCAGGCCTGTTAGCAGTCTGAACCATTAAGGGATTAATCGAGGGGGGAGACCTGCTCCCGCCCAAGCTGTCCCCTCCTCTTGAGAATCAGAGCTTCTTACTGACTCCCGGCAGTAGGTTTTGATCCCACAGTCCACGATGCCCCCTACGCGGTCTGGGTTGGCAGCCGCACCTGGAGGCAGACGAGTCGCTGGGCTCACCGTTAGGAGGTGAAGGGAGGACAGTTGAATTTGTCAGAGGGAGCCAGTCTCCCCAGGGTCCCAAAGTCAATGCCACTTTCAAAATCTGACTCCCTATGTTTTTAGGAGTCCAGGTGCGCTCCTCAGAATCTCCCTGCCTAAAAGAGCAGCCTCTGGCGGGGAGGAGAGGGTTGGATGGGAGGAAAGTCAAGGTTGGAAAGCTGGGCTTCTTTGCCTACTTGGCGTTTCTTTTTCTCATTCCTTCCAGATCAGGAATTCCATGAAGAAGAAATCCTAGCTGGGGAGGGGTCAGGCAAACCCAAGGTGCTAGAGTCAGAGGCAGCCGAGTGAGAGCACCCAGGAGTGAATTTGTCCTCCCTGGGCTGCAGAAGGGGGGAGATGCACCTCGTTCTTCACGAGGAGGAAGGAGCAGGTTACGGCTTTGCTTGGCTCCCTTCTCTGAGCTCTCAGGAGGGATACTGTCTTTCTGGGTCTGGTCCAATAGTTCTGTGGCCTAGCTCTTTCTCCTTGTCTGCAGGAGCTGCGGGCTTGATACTGGGACACCCCCTAGACACAGTGAAGGTGAGAATAAGAAAAGCTGGGCCAACGTCTGGAAGCAGGGGCTGCACACTCAGGGTCAGGGTGTGGATTCCCATGCCATCTGTGCAGTAGGCATCCTGCCCCCAAGCAGCAGTTCTAGCAGCTGGGCTGGCTCCCAGGCAATGGAACACCTCTTTACTTGTGGGGAACAGCTGAAGGTCTCTCCCATGGCACACCCCCTTTCCTTGGCCCTCCCCCCATGACAAATTCTACTGTCCTCCCTCCACCTCCTAATGCTGAGCTCAGTGTCTCCTCTGCCGGCAGGTGCGGCTGCAGACCCAGAACGTGTATCGGGGCATTGTGGACTGTGTGATCAAAACCTACCAACGGGAGTCTGTAAGAAGCTCTGATTCTCAAGAGGAGGGGGGAGGGTGGGTGCGAGCAGGTCTCTTCTCCCCCTTCCCCTCCCCTAAGCACCTGCTCCAATCTAACTTATGCAGAGATAAGGCAAGGTTTGGGCTGCTAGTGAGGCAGGGGTGAGGGCCATGAAAGAGCTCCCAAAAGATCTAAGGACTTCACCTGGCAAACTCAGAAACCTGGGCTCTTTCTCAGCAAGCTCGTAGGCTCGCATGATCGAAGTTTCAAAGCTGGAAGGGGCCTTAGATGTCATCTGATCCCACCCTCTCATCTTACAAATGAGAAAACAGGCTCATAGAGCTCGAAGCCGCCTGCTTGAGGGCATCCAGGTAGTGAGGGGCCCAGGTGGGATTCAAGCTGGGACTCTCCGGTCCGGGGCAGGCCTCTCTCTTCTTTACTCTTCTCCCTTGCTGGGCCCCACTTTCCTCACCTGTAAAATGAGGGGCTTTGGACCAGATGACCTCAGGATTATTTCCAGGGATGGCATTCTGGAAGAGTTAGTAGGACTTCCAGATTTCTACCTGTCCTTGTAGGCAAAGAGCAGGCTCTATTTCAAGTAGAATGTCAGCCTTTTGAGGGCAGGGGCTACTTGTGGGGTTTTGGTACCCAGCCCCTAGGACAAAGTATGGTCCATAGGAAGCCCTTAACAAATGCTTGTGGGATGAATGGAATGACTGACTAGGAGGAGAGCTGTCCCCCATCAGCCCCATTTGAGCACACCCACCAAGGCCCATCTCCAGCCCAGGCCAGACTCTGTCTCTGCTTACAGGTCCTGGGCTTCTTTAAGGGGATGAGTTTCCCCATCTGCAGTGTAGCCGTGGTCAACTCTGTCCTCTTTGGAACCTACAGCAACTCCCTGCTCCTGCTTAGCTCCACATCCCACCAAGACCGAAAGGCCCAGCCCCCCAACTATGGCCACATCTTTGTGGCTGGCAGCATCGCAGGGTTTGTGCAGGTAAGTGTGACCCACTATTCTGGCCACCAGGGAAGGCTGGACTTCCTCCCTCTGAAGGGTGTCAGTGTTAGAGTACACACACATAGGTGGCCACATCTTCTGGCCATCCCTTCCTTGGGCTAGGGCTCAGGACATGTGATGATGCCATATTCCATGCTGTCATCACCACAGATGATCAGAAAAGGAAATGTTTCTCTTCAGGGCTTCTTCTCTGGCAGGTAAGGTCAGAGTTTCTCAGTAGAAGGCAACCTGAACCTCCACCCACACCCTCTTACAGAAGACCCCAAAGCCCACTGCCACTTGGGATAAATGAAGAATTGTCAAGAGAGAGCCTTGTTTCCAGCTTCTAGAGGCTGTCAGTCACTTGGAATACTGGTCAGATTGACAGTCTGCATAGGCCTGGGGTCTGGACACGCTAGTGGTGAGGAGCGCCAGCGAGGGGACAGAGGACACTGAGAGGTGGTTAGAAGGAACTCAGAGGTGGTGAAGGGGCTCAGGGGAGGGTTAACCCTAAGGCTGACATCCTGGCAGTCTGAGCTGCTAGTGTGGGACCACCTGACCTCTGGAAGGGTTTCCTTGACTCCTAATTAGGGAATATTTGGAAGCAGTGTGGGGCCCTGGAATCAGCCAAGCTGGGTCCACACCCTCCCTCTGTGTGACTCTGGGCCAGTCCGTGATCTCCCTGGGTCTCAGTTTCCTCGTCTGTAAAATGAAAGAGTTGAATAAGAGCACTTTTGGCTCTGGGTCTGTGCTCCAGTGAGTAACGCCCACGCTCTTCTCGTTCCTCACCTGCCTCCACTTCTTTCTTCTCTCCAATTCAGTGGCCTGGCCCTCTCCTAGCTTGCCTCCATCCACCCCCAACCACGAGTGGCCTTCGGGGTGCTGCTCGGAGCCTCGTGGTTCTCCTTTCACACTCACTTCCTTGGCAATCTCGTGCCCTCCCATGGAGTGAATCATCTTCTGTATGCGGATGATTCCCATCTCTAGATTCAGCCCCGCCCCTGAGCACCATTCCCTCATCACCAGATGCCTTTGGCATCTCCAATTTAGCGCGCTGCCAGCGACTCATTTTCTCCCCTAAACTCACCCTTTTCCCAGTCTTCCAGTTCCTAGTGACGGCAGCACCATCCTTCCCGCCATCTGGGTGTGCAGCCTGGGGGTGCTACTCAACTCTTCCTTCCCCCCTCCATGTCTTGTGGGTTGCCGAAGGTTGGCGATTCAAGCTCTCCTGGGCCCCGTATCCCGTCCTCTCTCCGCTCGTGGGGTGCTGCCCTCGGTCAGCAGCTGCAGCCCCCTCATTGCTCTCCCCTACTTGTGCTATTTTCTCTACCCAGTTGCTAATATGATCTTGGGCCTGCCCAAGTCCGTCTCCAGCTCCAGAGCCATAAGGGGACCCCTCTCGCCTTTTTGTATAAACTGCTCAGTCAGTCAATCAATAAACACTTATTAGGCCCCTACTCTGTGCCAGGCACTGTGCTTAGCACTGGGGGATACAAAAAGAGGCAAAAGACAGCTGCTGCCCTCAAGGAGCTTACGACCTAAGGCTCGGCTTTTTCACGGTCAGCCCATTCACTATCTGGCTCCAGTCAGACTTTCTTTTTCATCCTACCACATACATTCTGTGCCAGCCAAACTGGTCTATTTGCCCCCTGGCATCCCACCTCTGCACCTTTGCCCTGGGCAACCTCCGGGCCTAGAATACCCTCCCTGCCCACTCCCCCCCTTCCACTCTTTAGTTTCTTTCAAGGTTCATCTCAGGTGCCCTCCCTGTGGCCTCCACCCTTCCTGATCCCTTGCTACCCCCCAAGATGATCTTGTACCCTTTTATCTATGTGCAGGCTCTAATCCCCAAGAGTTTGAAGTCCTGGCATTTTTGTCTTTGTACCCTCGCACTTAGCACAGTCGTAGGCACACAGTAAGTGCCTAATAAATGTATTTTTAAAACACTGAATTGTGGAACTGCTATATCCTGTTATAAACCTAGACTGAGAACCTTCTCCTTTCCACGTGACACTGACAGCCACACGCCCAGCACCAGGCTTGAGGCCTCGCTGAAGGGTAACCCTGATATCGTTCCCTCTCCTTGCCCTAGTCCCAGCCCCCTCCTGGCCGTACCCAGCAGCCCTGGCGCCGTAGCTCTGCCGACTTATTAATGAACACTTAGTTCTATGGGTCCGGGGATAGAGGTGGTAGGGCATTAATCATTAAGTAACTTAGGTAACTTTGTCTTGGTCTTTGTCCTGGATCTTTATTTCATGAGCCTTTTGGAGGGAGTCAAGATCTAAGAGGGAGCGAACATCAGTCCATCATCAATAAATGTTTATTGAGCCCCTGCCAAGTGCAGGGATAGAGCTGGGCCTGGAGTCAGGAAGATTCATCCTCCTGAGTTCAAATCTGGCCTCAGACACTTACCAGCTGTGTGACCCTGGGCAAGTCACTTCACCCTGTTTGCCTCAGTTTCCTCATCTGTCAAATGAGCTGGAGAAGGAAATGGCCAACCACTCTGGTATCTCTGCCAAGAAAACCCCCAGTGGGGTCACCAGTAGGCGGACAGGACTGAAAAACAGCTGAACAGCGACAACAGCATCTGCTGTAAGTAACTACCAAGTGTTACGCCATGCCAGGTGTGCAGCTCTTCCCATTGGGTGAGGGAGCAAGTGGAAGAGCCGGCATTTAGAGAGAGAGCACGTCGAGCTTTCTAAAAGCTTTTCTCACCTCCAGACCATGAGTATTATTGAACCCATTTGACAGATGAGGAAATTGAGGTTCAGGGAACTAGCAAGTCTTCTGCCCCCCACTCATGGCATCTCCTGGCTCCATCCCCAGGCACCCTTCAGCAGGTCTCTGTTTAGCACCACACTTCTCATTCCTAACAAGGATCACAGTCCGCGCTGATGACAAAGGGTGCGGTTGTTTGCCGAAGTTAATGATTAATGACCCCCCAAAAGGTCCAAGTTTCTCTTCATCCCCAGCTTGGCTGGGCGTACACACCTTCATCCTCCCCAAAGCCTCCAGGCTGGCATCCTCCCGAACAAGGCTGGGACCCTAGATTTGGGCATCCCCTGCACTAGGCCAGGTGTGAGGGGATGAGGGCCTGCATCAGGGGAGGGGCCGTGTCAAAGAGAAGGGGCGTGTCCCAGAGATGCTATAAAGGTGACCTAGACAGGCTTTGAGAACAGCTTGGATGTGGGGGGTGAGGGAGTCCAGGAAGACCCTAGCTTGGGGTCCTGAGGACTGGGAGGATGGTGGGAGTGGGGAGGGGCCGCTAGGGGGCGCCACAGTGCACAGAGTGCTGGGCCTAGAGTCAGGAAGACTCATCCTCCTGAGTTCAAACCCGGCCTCAGACCCTTACCAGCTGTGTGACACTGGGCAAGTCACTTCACCCTGTTTGCCTCAGTTTCCTCATCTGTAAAATGAGCTGGAGAAGGGAAATGGCAAATTCTCCAGGATCTCTGCCAAGAACACCCCCAATGGGGTCACGGAGAGTCAGACGGGAGGGGTTGGGGGCTGGGACCCTATGGCATGTGTACTAGACAGTTTGGAGGGGCTAGGTAGGGGTTGGCTATGAGCAAAATTGTGACGATAGAAGCCAGTGTTGTGTAGTAGATATGGAGACAGAAGATCTGGGATCTAATCCTGACCCTGTAGGTTATTTATCTGTGTGACCTTGGGCAAATTACTCTCTGAGCCTGTTTTCATCACCCCCAAAACAAAGGGGTGTGACTCAGTGACCTCCAAGGGCCCTTTCAGCTGTGTGATCTAGGCTCCAAGTGGAGGCCGGCCTCCTTCCTTGAGAGGTTCCCCTCACTGCTCAGCCCCTGCTCCTCACTCTCAAGGTCACGGGGATGGAGCCTTTCTTAAGAAAAGGAGAAGGGCCTTGGCATGAAAACAAAGGTGCCCGGAGAGGCCCAGAGGGATCCCGAGCTGTGCAAGGGAGGCTGGCGGGTAGAAGGAAGAAAGGCTTTGTAACAGTGGGAGCTCAGGAACGGGTGAGAGGGGCCTGGCCCTCGGAGGAGGTGACTGCTTGTCTGGTGTGGAGTGGTTTCAGTCACGTCCGACTCTTGGTGACTCCATTTGGGGCTTTTTTGGCAAAGATGCTGGAGAGGAAGACACTCATTCCTTCTCCAACTCATTTAATAGACGAGGAAACTGAGACAACAGGGTTAAGTGACTTGCCCAGGGTCACACAGCTAGGAAGTGTTTGAGGCTGAGTTTGAACTCAGGTCTTCCTGACTGCAGGCTGGATGCTCCATCCATTGTACCACCTGTCTGCCAAGAGTCAATGATGAGGAACCATGGGTACTGTCAGGCGAGGCATTAGCTAGGGAGGGCCAGAAGAAGTGGCCCGGACTGTTGGCCAGCCTAAATAAACAGGTCCATTGTTTTCCTGACACAGTGGATAGCTTGTTGTCTTCCGGTTAAGGAGAGCTGAGGTTTTAAAGTTTTTGCAAAAATCAGGTTCCCCCTCCATCAGAACCTCAGTCCCATGTGCTATCCTTGCCTAACCCTCCATCCCCGCCCTTCTCTTGAGCTCAGGAGCGGCACAGATGTACACGCAGAAGCCAAGCCAGCTCCTCATTTCACTGTTAACCTCGCTTCTCTTTGGGGCCTGGTCTATAGGGTCTGCGCTGGCCCAGTGCCTACTGGCTGTCCCTGAGGTTTTAGCAGAGAAGCCGTGTGGGTAGTAAAGAGAGGTGAAGTCAAGGGCGTGAATTTTGTGTGACAATGAACAAGCCTCAGCTTCTTCATCCGAGACATGGGAATAATCAGTACATGTCCTGACGGGCAGGGAGGCCTGCATGAGGCAGACGCTTGGCAAACCTTCAAGCGTTCTATCAGTGAGCTTTCATGATGACTTATCAAATGGCTGAGGCCTCATCAAGGCCTCAGGTCCTCCTCCCTGCTACAGAACCTCACTTTTCTAGGTAGCAGGACAGCTTAGCAGCCATCCAGTGCGGCCCACGGCTGTGCGGCCCACGGCTGGTGTCTCCCCTCGAGCATCAGCCTCTGCTGGGGTAATCCTGCCTATCCTATCCAGTCCCAATTGGCCTCTTCAGCATGGCCCCCAAAGCTCCTGATTCTCTTCTCTGGGCCAATCAGAATGAGTATAATCTCTCGGATGTCTGACAGCCCTTCAAATATTTGAAGACAGCTACTGTGATGTCCCCCACCCAGTACTCTCTGATCCGGGCCAGACTTGCCGAGTGCCATCAGCCAATCCTTGTGCCATCATGCTGGTATCGTCACCCCGACTCCTCAAGATCTTCCCCTGCCCCATATCCAACCTGGCGAATATTTCTATCCCCTCCACTCTATCCTCTGCCCCATTCACCCACCAAAGTGATTTTCCTAAAACATGGGTCCGACGGTGTCGCCCCCTACTCCATAAACTCCAGTGGCTCCCCATTGCTTCCAGGACCAAATATGAAATGCTCTGCTTAGCATTCGAAGCCCTTCATCACCTGCCCCCTCCTCCCTTCCCATTGTCCTTCCACCTTCCCAAAATTGTGGATTCTTCCCTCCAGTGACCCCAGCCTCCTAACGGTCCCACCGACAAGACCCTCCATTTCCCTACTCTGGTGCCTCCATGCCTGCAATTTCCTCCCTCCTCATCTCTGCCTGCTGGCTTCCCTGGCTTCCTTTAAGACCCAACTAAAATCCCCCCTTCCACAAGAAGCCTTTCCCAACACCTCTGAATTCTAATGGCTTCTCTCTGCCAGTTATTTCCTGTTTATCCTGTGTATCCTGCTTAAAGCTTGTTTGTATGTATTCCTGTGCATGCTTTCTCCTCGTTAGAGTGTGAGCTCCTCGTGGGCAGGGCCTGTCTCTTGGCTTTCTTTGTGCTCCCAGTGTGTTTCATACTGGCACGTAGTAGGTGCTTAATAAATATTGGTCACCCCCCTTTGGACACTCTCCAGCATATTGGTGGCCTGTGGTGTCCAGAGCTAACCCCAGGGTTCCAGCTGAAGTCGGAGAAAGGCAGAGGACTGTGGGATTCTCCCCTCCCTTTCTTGGCAGCTCAAGGTCCCATCTCTCCTGGCTGACACATTGAGGTTGCTGTCTGCTAAAACCCCAAGATCTGTTTCAGACAAACTGCTGTCTAACCAGGAAACTCACCCCTGCTCTTGGGTACCCAATTGTAAGACGTTTTGTGTCTGTTGAGTTTCATCTTCCTGGAGTGTGACACTTTGGCCTCCAACATCTTTTTGGATCCCGATTCTGCTATCAAGGGTGTCATCTGCAAATATGAGGAACGTGCCTTCTGTAACTTATATAGTTCACTAAAATGTGAAGCGTACCAAAGCCAAGCAGAGCCCTGGGGCACTCCACTGGAGACCTCTTGCCAAGCTGATATTGATCCATTAATGACTGCTCTTTGTAGCTGCTCATTCAGCTAGTTCTTAATTCATCAAACTGTGTTATTGATAGCCTGCATTTTTTTCTCCAAGAATATTTTGAGATACGTTATCAAGCACTTGGCTAAAATCAAGGTGTTCTGTCACAAAAGGAAATGAGGTCAGTCTGTCATGACCTGTCCTTGAGGAAGCCAGGCTGGCTCTGTATAGGCACAGTTTCCTTTTCTCAATGTTTGCCAACCACCTCTTTAATGATCGGTCCCAGGGTTTTCCCAGGAATTAAAAGTCAAGCTCACTTCTTCCCTTTTTTGAACACTGGGACATTCGCCTTTCCATCATTTTCCATGACCTTTCACATTTCATTGATGGGGCTTGGCAGTCATGCCTGCCCTTTCTCTCAGGACCCAAGGATAGAATTCAGCAGAATTCATCAAGGGGCTGCCAGGTATGCCCTGACTCGTTCCTTTCCTATCTTTAATATCGACTCTTGGTGAACCACTTTTCTCCTTGGCAGAGAAAAGAGAAGCAAACTCCCCCTCTCTGGTTGGTTATCATCCCATCTCTTTGATCTTCCCTGGTACATCTCCTCTCACATCCATCCCTTTTTCAGTGTCCTTAGCTCCCCTCTTCAGCCACAGCTGCTCCTAAGTTTCAGCAGTCTTGACGCCAGTTTTATAGGACTGTTCCAAACTCTCGTACCCACCTTGGGATCCCTGACCTTGCTTCTCTCTTCTAGGCAGCTAGGTGGCATAGTGGGTGAGAGTACTGCGCCCCTAGCAGCAGTCAGAAAAGCAAGAGGAGCTCAAATCCATCTCAGACACTCAACTAGCTGCCGAAGCCTGGGCAAGTCTTCTTCATCTGTAAAATGGGTCTAACCTTGCAGCTTTGTAAACCTTAAAGCACTATGTCAATGCTAGTTATTATTATGTATATGTTTTAAAAATCTGACTTGGCTAGGGAGTCCTCCTCATTGGAATTGTTTTCCTTTGTGCCATCACTTTTCATTCTTGAGCATTTCCTCTTCCTTCTGGTCTGACTTCCGCTGTAGAATGTGAGTCCAGAAGACTCTCCCTATTGTATACCCAGCCTTCCTCCGAACCCTCTAAAATCTGCTTTCCTCAAACGTAGGGTGTACGTCATATTGTTTCTGGATTTCCTTTCCTCCGTCACACACTCCAGGAGGAAGTAGTTGCTCCCCACTAAGGTTCTCACCATTTCCACCCCATTAACCATTTCCTCCCTGTTAGTTAGAATCAGATTCCACATGCATTTTCCCCTTTTGAAGGATGAAATGATCATTAAGGCAAATCAGGAACTTATTGGTTGTCCTGTTTTGGTCAGAGAGTGCTCCAGTTATTTCTGGATAACGAAGCCCCCATCACTATTCCCTCCCTTTGGTGCCAGGCTGGTGAGATTCCCACATTCTAATCTCAATGATTCCAGTCTACAAGCTTCCACAATCTTCTCTCTAATTCAACCTCCTATTGAAGATTTCTAGTACTGCTGATTGCCAAGACTTTCACTTGCCTGCCACACTCAGAAGTGTGGAGCTAGGAGCAGGAGGGGTTGTGCGAGGTCCTGCAACCTTGGAGGCCACGGAGGTTACCATGGGAGGAATGTCATGAAGGCATGTCACTGGGAGTCTTTGGGACTGATACAGCTGACTACAATAGCACAATGCTGAGTGAGGTGAAGGGTCAGGGGTTCAAATAGGAAGAACCCTGGACTTGGGGTCAGAGGACTCATCACTGATTACTTGTGTGACCTGAGGGGAAGTCACTCACTTTATCTGGGGCTCCTTAGTCTGTCATCCTCCTAAAGCGTAGTTCACACACCTTCCTGCTTTCTCTACCTGGTTCTCCCTTGTGTGCTCCACTGATGAGTGGGAGAGTGGGTCTCTCATCAGGCTGCTGTTGGCCAGCTTCCCCTCCCAACTGGTTTCCTTTGCTTCCCTGTAGGCCTATTGCTTGGCTCCTTTTGACCTCATCAAAGTTCGACTGCAGAACCAAACAGAGCCCCGGGCCCGGCCGGGAGTGGCCCCATCCCACTACAGGGGTCCCCTGCACTGTGCCAGGACCATCCTCCGGGAGGAGGGGCCCCGGGGCTTGTTTCGGGGAGCTTGGGCTCTGGTGCTGAGGGATACACCCTCTCTGGGCCTCTATTTTCTCACCTATGAGGGTCTCAGTTGGTGGCTAACTTCAGATGGTAAGGAACGTGGTAAGTAAAGGCCCAGTAGGGAGGAGGAGGGGCAGAAGGGGCTGAACACCTTTTTTTTTTTTTTTGCTTAGGCAGTTGGGGTTAAGTGACTTGCCCAGGGTCACACAGCTAGTGTCAAGTGTTTGATCTGAGGCCAGATTTGAATTCAGGTCCTCCTGACTTCAGGGCTGGCGCTGTATCCACTGCACCACCTAGCTGTCCCTGAACACCTCATTTTTACAACATGGCTTAGAGGATGTGGGGGTGGGGATGTGCAGGGGTGTATAGGGAAAGAGATGTGACACTTTGCTGGTTCCATGATGGGACAGGAAGGTGAATGCCCTCATTCCAAGATGGCAGCGCTCAGAGGAGGAAACATTTGGGCTCTCAGGTCTTTCTTCTGTTTCTCAATTACAGGCTCAGCTACAATGCTGGTGGCTGGGGGCTTTGCAGGGATAATATCCTGGGTCGTAGCCACTCCTTTAGATGTGGTCAAAGCACGGATGCAAATGGATGGGCTTAAGCAGCAAGAATACCGGGGGCTGCTAGATTGCATGGTGAGCAGTGCCCGGCAAGAAGGGCCAGGTGTCTTCTTCAGGGGATTGACCCTCAACAGCGCCCGGGCCTTTCCTGTCAATGCTGTGACCTTCTTCAGCTACGAGCATCTCCTCCGGTTCCTGAGCTGAGCCTCTTGGGTAGTGTCAGCTGCTCCCCCAGCAAGTTCTAACTCTGAGAGACTGAATCCCAATTTGGTACCCAAAATCTGGTGTCAGTAGTGGAAGAAGGTGGTCAGCCAATCTGCCTTCACTCCCTAAACTGGGCAAAATGACTTGTTCCTTGGGTGGCAGGAGTTGGGTTCCAACTGGCTTGGATAGAAGTGACCCACCAAGAATGGGATGAAGGGGAACACAGACATGCATAAAGGACGAACAACAGACAGCTCTGTGCCTCAGCTTCCTTATCTGTACAGTGCCAGGGTGGGGGTGGGGGGCAGGTGATGGTGGCCCTTCCAGTTCTAGATGCGGATCCTGAGAAAAGGAGGTGATGCGTGCTTACCTGGATGCATGATCTGGGTCTGACCACTGCCTCACATCCCAATCCCTCCCCTAGGGTTTGAGAGAATATCATCAAAAGTTGCCAAGTTTGATGGCAAACATCTCCCACTGCAGCCAGCCAGGAGACAGGCCTGCCTGTCCTCAGGGGACAGCAAGCCTAACCCTGAGTTCACACCTGAAGCCTTTCTAGCCTAGTAGGCCCTGCTACAGCTGATGTACCACAGCTGAGAACCCAAAGCCTCCTCTACCCCACTGGAGGTTGGCATAAGTGGTGGGGGTGGGTCCTAAATAAAGGCTCATTCCCTTCCCCTTCACTTCTCCTCCTGAGGTCTTAGTGGACCAGAAACCGAACGAGCCAGTATCTTTCCTGCTAATGTATGAGCTGCATAGTAGCTCTTCCTTACATTTGACTCGGCCTTGGTCAAACCCTGTGTCTGATTTGGGTTTCCACATTTTAAAAATGGTAAGGAAATCAAAGGGTTAGAAGCATAAGCCCTGAGGAACAAGACTAGCGGTATGGAAGCTCTTTGGAAAACAGAAGGTGCCTCCAGAAATATAAGGAATTCTCATGAGCCTAGAACATTAACTAGGACAAAAGGAGAGGTCGAGGCTATTGCTTCAGCAAGAAATTAAGATTAGATCAAAGGAAGAACCATGTGCCTGTAAGAAAACTCAACACTGGAAAAGCTCCCGAGGGAGGAAGTAGAATCTTTATTCTTAAAGACCTTTTAAAAATAGAAATCCTAGAGGTAGGGCCAGATAAGATGACTTTCCAGCTCGGTAACTCTAGGGGAAAGATTGCTCTGATTCTACCTGGAGAGCACTAGATGCAGGGTCAGAAGACTAGGGTTCAAATCCTGGCTTGGCTAATTGCTAGATCTGCTACTTCCTAGCTATGTAACCTTGGGCAAGTCATTGCTGAGCTTCCCAGCATTCCCCGCCCAGGGAACAGTTGCCCCCACGGCTCCTTGCAGGTTTTACTCCCCTGATCTCAGTATTAGTTCAGAAGACACTCCTGGCTATGGTTTTCCTTTGGGTTCCTCCTCCTGAGCCCTGTAACAAAGGGGGTCAGTGACAGCAGGGCAGATGCCTCCACCGCCTAACCTAAAGTCTGAAATGGAAATTTCAAGGGGATGGCTCAAAATCTTGGGGAGAAAAGAGGAGGGATGAGGAGGAGAACCGTACCTGTGCAGTCTTGAGGAGGGTAGTTGAATCCCGAAGTTCCCTCGAACAAGGGACTCAAACCATTGAATGCTTCCCTCCTCCCCCCATTCCAGCTGAATAACAAATTCGTATAAAGTTATAAATGAATATTCATAAGTTCACTTATTGCTTTAAAAAAATGAATGAGCTAAGACTACCATACCCATAGCCAAACCCAGTATTAAGGGTCAAGTAGATGCTGGTGTCAAGTAAGTGCCAAGGGCAGGCTTTTCTCAGACTGGCTCATCCCTGAAACTAGGAACCTCTCCAGGGCCCAGTGCATCATTTGGGGTGATGGACCACTCCCTGTACGCAGGGAGTGAGGCTAGCTGCAACCCTAGGCCATGATTTCCTCCCATACTCTCCACCTTGCTTTCCTTAGTCATTTACTACCCCAGGATTGGCAAGAAAAACACAAAAAATCCCTTGAAACTCTGCCCTTTACAGCTGGTACCTTCTCTTTGGGCTCTTGGTTTGAGGTAACCTTAGAAACCCAGACTGCCAGAGCTCTAAGGTGTGGAGGCTGATGTGCCCAAAGTCATCTGGCAGAGCTCTCCCAATATCAGTCGGACTCAGTGATTTTTGTGTGTGAATGTACTTCCTATACAGGTACCAATGCACACCTCAGCCTTTAGGGTAGCAAAGGAAGTTTGGTATTTTCCCTGACCCACGGTGACTTTGGAGACCCAGGTCAAGTTACAAGGTCTCTCTCTTCCCTGGTGACCAGTGTCCTCTCCACTAGTCTAGAAATTCTGAGCTTTGAAACAGTAACAGGACTGGCCAGATGTCCTCATCTGACCTGACCTGTTTCTTCTAGGGAAAGGAGATGTCTACAAAAAACCAAGTAAGAAGCAAGAGCAAAAAACTTTTTTTAAGGAAAATTAGGGCCCTGGCCTTGATATGCTAAAGGACCACTCACTCTTGTTTTCTCTGGTACAATGCTCCTCTCCTTAGCCACTTGCCAGTTATTTCTTGGACTCGATCTTTTCATAGTAGGGATAGATGCTACAGAGCGGTTAATGCAGCTTCCCCTTCACTTGAGGTGCTCTGGGATCCTTCTGAAAGGAAATTCCTTTTACTTGTCCTGAGTGGAAGCCCGAGCTGTAACGCCAACCACCATGATCCGAGGGGGAAGAGAGGCAGCAATCTGGAGTCAATGCTGAAAGGCTCGGCCTGGGAGACGGGAAGGCATCAGTGAGTCACCCTCTGCCGACTGCCCAAAGCCCTCTGGTCTTGCACAAGTGACACCCAGGCTCCCTGCTTAAAACCTTGATTGCCACCAGCAGAATTGGTTTTAAACACAGAATTCATGGAGTTCTCATGCTGGCTGTAAAGCCTAGATTCCTCATACCCAAGCTCTCAGTTTCCCTGTCAATGGTTTCTCGTCTAATACCCTAGAATTTCCAAAAGGGTTAAAGGATTACTAGGCAATATATTCAGAATTCTCTGCCCCATCGATGGTGCTGGTTTAAAGCCCTTCTGCTCAAGGATGAAGAGGCCTTCATAGCCTGGCCTTGGGTGTCCCAGCTTCTCTCCTCTCAACATGAAGCAGTCATTTCCATGGGAAGGAAAGCCCCAAAGTGCCCTCTGTTAGCGTTTCCATGGGAAACAAGAAGGTGGGGACTCTGATGGGCCCGGGGGGTGGGGGGGCCCTCACTGGTAGCACATGCGTTCTACCTCCTCTTCACAGTCATAAAATTTCCCAAAAAGTTCAGGGGAAGCGCCGTTGCACTCAAACCATCGCCGCAAGGTGCCCAGCGCCCGCAAGGCATCTGCTTTGGTCGGCAGAGGCACCAGGCTGTCGTCCCTGTTCTCTCCCTCGCCCTCACTGATCGCTTCTTCCTTGCATCCTCCCTGGCCTGCCTCCTCACCCTCCAGGTCCACGAAGCGGGAAAATTCTTCGGGTCTCAGCCCGTCAGGCAGCGGGGGCATCCTGGGCACTTCTTTCATAGACGGAGGAGTTCTGCTGGGCCACAGGCCAGCAAGGGCGAAGCTGCTCCTGATGAAGTTGGCGGGCACTCTGTCCCAGGCGGCTGCCATCATATGCAAGGCATCGAGCACCGTGATGCCCGCCCCAGCGGCGGCCAGGGACGTGCCCTCGGTCTCCCCTCGGAGAGCGGCCAGCTTACTCAGGAGGCGGTGCCGGTAACGGGTCTTGAAGTCCCGAACCACAGGAGTGGGTAAGCAGGGCATGGTACCATCAGCAGGCAGAGGCAAGAGCCTCACGTGCTGAAGCTCGGGCAGGTCTGCGCCCTCCCTGGCCGGGGGGTCGGTCAGCAACAAGGCCACGTGTCGGCCTTGCTGCCCCATGTCCTGGTCCAACTGGGCCAGCCAGTCTGCCCAGGGGATCCCTGGGCCTGGGCGGTAGAGGACAGGCAGAGCCTCACTGCTGACCCCAAAGAAGCAGCGGGGAGAAGTCTGACGGCCTCCCGCAACCATCAGCCGACGCTTCTCTGTCCCTCCACTGTTGGCGCACAGTAACACCTGTAACCGATCGCCCAATACCACCCCACCTGGGACCGCCCGATACAATAAGGGCACTTCGGTACAGCCAAAAATATCCTCTGGGGAAAAGTCTTTCAGGGTAATGGGAGCATGGGGGTCGAAGCCCGGGGGAGGAGGCTCCGGGGAAGTCCGAGGAGGAGGGAGGACACGCCGGGCCCCCAAGCCTACGTTGTTGCGGCGCTTCCAGCGCACCAGCCAGCCGATGCTGGGCACGAAGTGCTGGCCCATGAGGTCGGCCAGCTCCTTGGCCTTGTGCAGTAGCATGGGGCCCGTGACGTCCCAGGCCTTGGCCCGCGCGATATGGTACCAGCACAGGAGCGCCTCGTCGATGCCGCTGTACTTGGACTCACGCTTGCGCTTGCGCTCCCGGTTGGCTGTGCCGCTGCACCAGTCCGCCAGCAGTTTCTCCTTATTCTTGCAGATCCGGGAGATCTGAGGCTGAGAGACCTGGAAACGGCGGGCCACCTCCGACTGGGACATCTTGGACTCTTCCAGGAGCTCGAGCACCTGGATCTTCTCTGCCAGGGACAGGGCGTGAAGCTTCTTCTTGCCACCCAGTTCCATGGCTCCTCTGGGGTACCTGCAAGTAGGGAGCCACGTGAGGCAGGTGGGCAGGGCCAAGAGAGGGGAAGACGGAGGTGGGGATGGTGGGAGAAGGACCAGTGTGGGGAAGCGATGGGAGAGAGGGCCAAGAAGGCAGGGGGGAAGAGGGGAGGAAGAATAAAAGAGGTAGGGAGAGCGGGAAGAGATCTTACAGGGCAGCAGAAGCCTTTATTCAGCACCTACTAGGAGCCGCTGTGCCTACTGTGCACAGCGCTATTAGCAATGCTATCTTGACTATGCCCTTCACTTCGTGTTAACATTGATTATTCACACTATCCCATCTGACCTACAATCTAGTCCAACGTTCTTCACAGATTTCTCCAAAGTCACCTGGATCCTAAAGGGCAAAGCAGGGAAGGGGCTGGAGGAAGAAAGATGGAGAGGGGCTAGATGGGGTGAGGAGGAGATGAGGAAGAGAGGGATGGCAGAAGGGCTGATGAATGGCCCCAGGGGAGAGGAAGATGATGCAGGGAAAGAGGCGCCCGCCACCGCCACCGCCGGGAAGCTACGAGGGAGGCGGAGCTGGGGCAGGTGGGGACACAAAGGGAGCAGATGGGGAAGCCACTGAGTGGGGGAGGGGAGGGGCAAAGGGGGCACCCTGTGGGGCGGGGGAGGGTGGCACCAGACTGCGGGAGTGGAGGCCGGGGGGGAACCCCCCAAGAACGGGGAGGGGGGGCCAAGAGCTGGGGGGAACCAGAGAAGGGGAGCGGGGCCAAAAGTAGGGGAGGGGGACAGGAGTGGGGGGGAACAAGAATGGGGAGGGGGGACAAGAGAGGGAGAGGATGGAGCTCAAGAGCAGGGGAGAAGGGTCAAGGGTCGGGAAGGGCCGGAGGACCCACAAAGGTGGCGGAGAGGAGGAAGGGGCACGGGGGTCCCCCTGGCATCCCCCAGCAATCCCCGTCACCCACTTCTCTGGTGCGCTCCTGCCCCCTGGGCCCGGTCCCTGCGGCGTCGGGCTCGGGGGACCTTGTGAGGGGCGGGGGCGCTCCACGAGATGCCGACGCCGACCCCGGCCCGGCCCCCGCTCGGCTCTGCCCGGCCCGGCCCAGCCCGGTCTGGCTCGGTCTGCTCCCCGCTCCGGGTTTTCCCGGGCTCCGGGACGAAGGGAGGGACAACCACTCGGGTACCCAGAAGCCACAGGGCCCTTCCCTCCAGAAGCAGATGATTGGCTCTCAGCGTGGCCCAGTCCCGCCTCCAGCTGGCCTCCATTGGCAGCCGCCGAAGGGACGGTTTAGCCCAGCCACAGCTCGACGGCCTCGGTACAAAACGAGCATTGGCCCCGCCCCCTGGGGGGGCTGGACGGAGGAGCGGGGAAAAGCAGGTGCTGGAGGCGGGCCCTCTGGGTGTTGGGCGGGGCCCGGGGAAGGCCTTTGTGCGGATAGACCAGACCGGAGAATGAGGCGAAAGGCAGGTGCCAGGGGCGGACCTTCGTGGTGATGGACAGGACCAGGAAGTGAGGAGGAAGGCCGATGCTAGGGGCGGGGCCTAAGGGAATGGGGGGCACAGGTAGGTGCCAGGGGCGGGCCTTCGTGGTGATGGACAGGATAGGGGCGGGATACAGGCAGGTGCTGAGGGGAGGGTCGCGGGACGGGGCTGGCGGAGTAAGGGAGTTAGTGGGGCGAGGCGGAAGTACTCCGCCAGACCCCCCCGCTGAGGGCGGGCGCTTCCCTAAAGCTTTTGTCCGGGCACAGGGGAAGACGGGGCTCAGGGCCGGGCACCCCTGGGCCGGCGGGCAGCTCCGGAAGAAGGCGCTGCCAGAGGACGGTCCAGCCTTGCTCTGCTGGGCCCCGGGGGGACGTTGCAAAGAGGCAGATTTGGGCTTGAGGTCAGACCCCTACCCCCCGCCGGGGCTTCTCGAGGGTCTTGTGACTGACCACTTGATGGGGATGTTGTGTTGGGAGGGTCTCTGAGGGCTCCGTGTGAGGACACGGAGCTAAGTGAGGGTGTCTGAGTAAGGGGGTGCCCAGATGCCTGAGGGAGAACCCAACCAGGCCAGATGGGGGGGAAGGCTGAGCTGGGGGTGCAGAGGGATGAGTAGCCGGGAAGAGGAGAATGGGGCAGACAAGAGCGGGGCTCTGATCCGGGGGCTGCTCATTCCCTCTATTCAGAACCGTAACCAGGGCAGGACAGTCGGGGCTTTATCCAGGGAGCTCGAATTTAGTCTGGGGCACTTCTAAGATAGCTGCACCTTGGAAGAGATCCTCCTCACCTTGAGTGATGGCAGCTTTGCCCTAGAGCTAGATTCTTGCCCCCAGGCCATTGCACCTGTGGTCCCCAACCAACTTGCGGCTTTGCTTCCTCAGCAGGGGTGCACTGAAGCTTTGTAGTAAGTCAGGGTTCACTTCCTCCATCCTAGAAAACACCTCGGGTGACCTTTCTCCCCCAGCTTCTCCTTGCCCAAGGTGCAAATAATCCTAGTTACAGCTCTACCTGCTGGCTCACCTATATTGATAGCCTTTTTTTTTTTGGTGAGGCAATTGGGGTTAAGTGACTTGCCCAGGGTCACACAGCTAGTGTGTGTTATGTGGCAGGCTGAATTTGAACTCAAGTCCTCCTGACTCCAGGGCTGGTGCTCTCTTCACTGCGCCACTGCCCCTTTTATTGTCAGCTTAAACAGAAAAATCCTTGCTGATGGGGAGCCAATCCAGGGGTGGCTAGGTGGTGCAATGGATAGAGTGCCCGTCCTAGAGTCTGGAAGACGCATCTTCCTAAGTTTAAATCAGACCTCAGACACCGTTTGCCTCATCTGTCAATGAGCTAGAGAAGGAAATGGCAAACCACTCCAGTATCTTTGCCCAGAAACCTCAAACTGGGTCATGAAGAGTTGGGCCTGACTGAAAACAACTGAACGGCCACCATGCCCTCCAAGAGGCTCCAGCAGCAAGGCCCAAACCAGGCCAAGCCTGTTTGTGCATTTGCACCCACACCAAAAGCCCATGGTGTGGCACACAGGAAACCCACATACAATCTGAGCCTTCAAGTTCCAGGCCGGGAGTGAGCTGGACAGGGGTCAGCCACCAGCTTTCACTCTTGTCCATGGGTTTCCCTGGATAGAAGAGAGCCCAGTGACCAGCGAGGGCTTGAGAAGATTTCTGTCCTGAGGTCTTCGGGTTGCCCTCGCTTGCTCGTGACTGGGGGAATGCAGAGGGAGGGCAGAGAAAGACCCTCAAGTCTTCCACATGCCAACATAAGATACCGCTCTCCAAGGTGAACATTCACAGAATCCACCCAAGACTGGCCTGGGTTTTGGTGCCCTGGGCACCATCTTCAACAAGTTATGCCTTCCCACAGAAAGCTTTTTCCCACCCTCCGGGCAGTCAAGAACCTCCTCAAATATCCTACATTCATGCCTGGTGAGTACCCACGGGCAGGTTCTCCCTTGCTGGCAAAGCTTGACACACGGCCCTCAAGTCTGGCCAAGGCCTAGCCTAGCCAGTTACGGACAGGCGTCTCACCACTGCTCAACATTTGGGTGGCTCCCTATCCCCCCGGGATGGAAACCAAACCGGACTCAAGATGCCTTTCCAAGCTTGTTCCGTGCTATTCCCCTTCACACACGTGATAAGATATGCTTGTCTACCTCCCCTGTCTGTGCCTTTACCCGGGCTGCTTCCCCACCCATCCAAGGCCTAGAGCCCACATTTTCCTCACCCAGAATCCCTAGAAATAATAAATCAAGCCCTGATTTGTAACAGTTGCTGATTTCTGAGGTGTAAATGCTCAAACTAACAGTTCAACAGTTGGATCTGGCTCCAATGAGCATCCCCCACTCCCAGCCCTTGCCTCGTATTTTGTGCTTGTTTACGTCAATCCTGAATGGGTGGAAGCTCCTCAAGAACGGGGAAGGCTTCATTTTGCCGTTAGCGTCTAGCATGGTGCCCAGCACACAGTAGGTACTTAATGCTTGGTGACTGGTCATCAGGAGGCTGACCACTGGATGACGAATTCTTTGGCTGGGAGAACGCAAGAAACAGATGCAGAATGACCCCTGGGCCTAGCGGCTGCTTCTGCAGAATCGGGCAGTGTGCAGAGGAAGGCTTTTTCAATGCTACCCTGGCTCTGCCCTCTTCAACCAGGCTGAACAAGTCCAACCCTTTCATAGGACAGACCGACGGACCTCCCCAGTACTGAAGATGGTCCAGCTTCTCTTCTTACTGCTCCAACCGATGTCACATGGCCTGACCTTATGGCCATCCCCCAGGCCACTTTCCACTGTGACCCCGTCACCATGGTCATCAAGGTAACTGCAGCTCAGGTGCCAAGATGTTGCCAAGGCTGCCGAGCCAAAGGGGAACTTCACGAGGTGCTTGGGACCAAGTTAGCAGATGGTTCAGCAGACAGAGGGAGATAAAACGCTGGGAGTGACAGATGAGACGTGCTGAAGGGTTCCCTCCCTGCCCATTTATTAATGGCTGCCCCCAATAAAATCCAAAACATCACAGCTGTGTCTGGATATATTTTTCCTTCCACTGACCTCAGCCTTGAAACAAAGAAGATGCAAAGTGTCAGACAAAACAGCTGTGCACCCAGCTGCCCCCATTCAGAACAGGCAGTGTCCCAGAACACTTTCTTCTTGAAGAGTCAGGAGGCACTGGATGTGAAAGGGGTGGGTGGTCCTGACAAAACCGAAGCACCAGTCGGACCTGGAACAGTCCCATTAGCCACCAAGTACAATCCCCTTTGACAAGCCCAATAAAGCGGCAGAGGCTCCATGTAAAAATGTTTATTGTACTAATGTCTGGAGTACAGGAACTTAAAAAAAACACCTCAACTCCAAAGTGACAGTGGGAGAGAGGCCCAGCCTCAAGGCCAAGCAGAAAGGGCTCCCCAGGGGCACTGCCACATACTGCGTCCCTCCCATACCGCCACCAGTCTCGCCCGGCAGAAGCCTGAGGAGCCAGGGGCATCGAGGCCTTCCCAGCTGCTAGTAAGCGTGCGAGGAGAGGAAGGGATGGCCAAGGGGCCCTCCTGTGACTTAGGAGCTTGGGTGCATGGGGTGGGGGCCTGGGGGCTCCCAATTCCATTGAGGGCAGAAGGCTGAAGGCCCAGGTAAGGAGGAGGAACAGAAAGGGGATTTTGGAGGTAGGCTTGAAGTAGAGTTAAAAAACAGGCACATTATCCAACTTCTCCCTCTGGCCCCCACACTGCTTGGATGGCCCCCTGATGCTTCCCTTCTCCCCACAAAACAAAAGAAGAACAAGGAGAAGGGGAACTGAGGAAAGAGAGCGGACGCACAAGGTAGAGAATCACTTTCGCCACTAAAGAGGGCTATGGAAGATGAGCTGGGAGGGAGGAGTCAGGCTGCAGCTGCGGCAGCACCAAGGGGCCAGGGTGCCCCAGTGCGTCACGCCCTGCCCCAGGCGCCTTCTGGCAGCAGGCACAGAGCGCCACGGAGAGCCTCCCTGCAGGGGCAGAAGGGGGCAAAGTGGAGAGGCGGGGGGAGCCAGAGAGTCCCCCAGACTTGCCCAGCTCATGCAGCCCCTCCTGGATGCCCTCCAAAAGGAGGGAAGGCAAACCCTAGGGGCAGAGTAGGCAGAGCTGGGAAAGAAGTGAGCTGCCCTCCTGCTCCGGCGTGGAGGGCATAGCTGAACCCTGTGAGAACCAGGGCCTGGGCCCAAGGCAGGCAGAGTGAATGCACTTTATGGAGAGAAAAGGAGCAAGGAGAAGCCAGGGCCTGTTTCTTCCCAGGGGCACCTTCAGGAGGGGCTGGGGCCAGACGGAGGGATCCACAGCGTCAGCTGCCAGTTCAGCCTGCCCGCTGCCCCAACCTGGCACTACCCGCCCCGGGCCCGCCAAAGGGGAGGACGGGAGAGGAGACACTGGAAAACAAGAGAGAGGTTCCAAAGACAGCCCCGGATGTGGGAGGGGATGGGGGTGCCCGGGCTCCTGGCCACATCAAGAAGAGTGCTGGTTCTGGTAGATGGAAGCCTTCTCCTTCAGCAGGTCCAGACACAGATGGCAGCTCCAGCTCCCTGCAGAGGAGAACAGGGTTACACAGGCAGGCAGCGAGCCGGCACGGGCGCCGAAGGCTAGGACTCCTGGTAAACAGCGCAGGGCCGCGGGCTCTGGAGCTGGAAGGGACCTCAGAAGGCTCAGAGTCCTACCCCTTTATTTGTTGTCGTTCATTCACGTTCAACTCTTCGTGATCCCATTTGGGGTGTTCTTGCAAAGATACTGGTTTGCCATTTCCTTCTCCAGCTCATTTTACAGATGAGGAAACTGAGGCAAACAAGGTGAAGTGACTTACCCAGGGTCACACAGCTAGTGTCTAAGGCTGGATCTGAACCCAAGAAAATGAGTGTTCCCGACTCTGTGCCCTGTAGTGCACCCTGGCTGCCCAGAACGGGCTCCAGGTCAGGCAGCCGAATGGCACCACTGGACCTGCCCCCACATCCTCTTTGGGATTCCCTCCAGCCCTGTCTAACTCAGTCAAACCCCGCCATCTGACCTGTAAAACTTGGCAATAGTTAGGAGCCAAAATTAAAACAAGCTAAACTCCTTCGGCCTACTGACAGGTTAGATTAGAGCCAGACTGACTATGACTGGTTGCCATGGGTCACATGTCAAACAAGAGTACGGCAACCCTACATCTCTTTTCCACGAGGTGACTGGGGTTAAGTGACTTGCCCCAGGGTCACGCAGCTAGTAAGTGCTAAGTGTCTGAGGCTGGATTTGAACTCAGGTCCTCCTGACTCCAAGGCCGGAGTTCTTCACTGTACCACCTAGCTGCCCCAGCCCTACATTTTTCGAGGGCCGCCTGAAAGCCTTGGGCAGCCACAAGCAGCCTGCCAGCCGCATCTTGTGCAGGCCTGCCCTACATCCTTCAGAGCAGAGACTCTTCACCTTCCACGGACCTCTTCTCAGAATCATGTTTGTAGAAGTATAAGAAGACAAAGGAAAGCAATTCTATTGCAATATAGTTAGTAAAATATTTAAAAACATCCATGGACCCCAGGCTGTCGGTTTTGAAGTCCTGGCTTGTGACAGTCCCATGTCAAAATCACAGCCAGCAGATCCTGCCCTGCACTGTCCCCACTGTGGGGAGTGACCTCGGAAAGACCCCAGAGGCCCAGGTCAGCTGCCACGCCCTCCCTCAGCTCAGGGAGCCCCTGGAATCTGCTGAGAACAGTGATGAGGACTTCACTGAGACAGGGACCCATCCCTTTCCTGGAACTGCCTCTCCTCATTTCCTGAGGGAAGACGTTCCACTCGCTGGGGACCATTGATTTAGAGCCAGAAGGGACCCTGGAGGCATATAGGCCCATCCTCTCGCCTCCTACATGAGAAGACTCTCTGAGCTAAATGGCTGGGCTGAGGTTCGCAGCCAGGTCCTCAGCCTGCAGACTGCTGTGAGACAGTTCCTCTCCTTCCCTGCCCTCCCCCATCCCGCTCTGGTCAATAACCACCCTCCCAGGGGCTGGGCAAGAAACAAGAGCTCCAATCTGTTTCTTCCTTTCAGGACTGGGTGCCCCCCTTGCCCCCATAAGGGCTGGCTGCTGGGTCCCCCCAGTGCTTAGCATCTCTCCTGTAAGATGCCACATTAGGGGCCCTCTCCAACCCCGAGCCCAGCTCCAACCCGCCACTGTTCTCTTAGAGATTCCATCCTCCTCCCACGTTGTAGTTTTGGGGTCTCCCTCAGGCCACAGACCTCCTCAGCTGGCAGGCTGAACTCTCTGAGGACCTCCCTCATGTACACTTTTACTCTGCTTCCTCATCATACAGCTGTAGGGTGAGGCCCACATCCCTTCATACTATAATGGCCTCCTAATGCTCCCCTTCCAACCCAGCCTCCACAAAGCTGCCACAGGGATTTGGTTACAACAAGTCTGATCATGTCGCTACCCTCCTCACTAAACCTCAGTGACTCCCTATTGCCCATGGGATGAATAATCTCCGTCTGAAGTCCTTCACAACCTTACCAGATCCACACATCACTCCCCCACCTCCTCCCTTTACTCAGGCTGTGCCCCACATCTGGAATGCACTCCCTGTCTCCTCCACTTCTCGGAATCACGCGTTTTAATTCAGGGAGAAGCCCTGAAGCCTTTCCTGGCCCACTTCTCTCAGCTGCTGGGGCCTTCTTCCCCAATCACGTCCAATTTACCGTGTCTACACTTTTATGTGTGTGCTACCTGCCCCAAGACAATCTAAGGTCCCTGAAGGCAGGGACGATTTCTTTTTTTGGGGTCTTTGTACCCATGAGAATCGTGCCCAGCACACAGTAGGTGCGGAACAAGCAGCTGCTGACGGGCCCAGGCCTCACTAGGGACACTCACCTTCAGGTGGTTCCGACATCGAGGGCGTGAGACAGTACATATGGTAGCCACGATCACAGTCATCACAGAAGAGCAGCTGGTCCTGGTCAGTGGGGGTGAAGAGAACAGGGGGCAGGGAACTGGGGTGATTAACATGCCTCCGTGCAACCACGAGCGCAGGGGATCGGGGGAGCCTGTGCCGTGAGCAGCAGGGGGCCTCGGGCCCACCCCGGGGAGGGACCCCGAGGGCAACTGCAATGGGGAGGAAGGCGTCAGGAGAGCACTCACGTCATTCTCCGAGGTGCCGCAGATGTTGCAGCATTTACACTCGATGCACTGCCAGCGGTAGGTCTTCACAGCAGCCATCATGACGGGGGTGAACTGGAGGCAGGATGGGTGCCCTGGGGGAAAGAGAAGAGCAGGACGGCTGAGAGGTTACCCTTCTCCAGACACACAGAGCTAGTCCGGCCTCTGGGCAACAAACAGGCCAGAGACCTTTCCTGCTTAGTGGGACCCGAGCAGCGCCATGAGGGAGAAGGGGTGCCGGAGCAGGGGAGGCTTCCCTCAGGAGCGGCCGCCCCCCAGCTGCCCGCGGAGGTACCTGAGCGGCCACAGTCGGAGCATGACACCAGCTCCTCAGGCTGGCCTGTCTTCTTGTTGATCTTGGAGTCTCCCAGACAGAAGTCACAGTAGTTGTTGGGTAGGGCCAGACCATCAGGGCCCTTCTTGGCTACGGGAAAAGAGCAAGCGTGGGGCCGACTCCTCCAGCCGAGGGCGACGATGGCCCGTTCCGCCCTCCAACCCCTGCCTCAATGACTGCCTTACATTTCTGCTCCTCAGACCTCTGGGACACAGGGGTGGGAGGCTGAGAGTCCTCCTTGTCTTCGCCCTCCTCCTCTGCCAGGTGGGAGTGCGCGTAGTGGTAACTGAGGCCCGGACGGTTCTTGTAACGCTTCCCACAGACTGGGGAGAGGATGGCAGAGAAAGGTGTGAAGATCCAAGCACCCCTTCCTTGCTCCCTACAGAGTTTGGGGCTCCATCGGGGGCAAGGAGACACCCCCTCCTCCCTCCCCAACACGGAACATCAGCTTGTTTTGGGGACAGGGCTTCAATGGATGTTACTGACGATGGAAAAGGGTAGGCCCGGCACGCCTGCTCTCCTCTCTCCTTCCTCATCCCACCCTCCATAGCAGGCCCCATTTATGGCCAACTGGCTGCTCTGAAGCCTGGGCCTCTCGCCTCATCCTTACACACAGCCAAGTGGTGCCCCAGGCCAAGAAGGGAATGGGAAAGAGGGAATCTCTCTGGCTGGCCGTTGGAAGAGGGAAGGGGCAGGAAGCAGGAGACTGTTTCCCAAGCATGCTCTCAGAACCAGGGCCCAACAACTCACTAAATTGTCGGGGAACCCACCAAACTCCCCACCTAAAGTGAATGGACCCAAGTGGTCCCAGGCAACACAACTGGGAGAAGCTATGGGCAACTGAGCGGAGTCCTGGGAAGGTAGAGGGTAGGCGGGAAGGCCAGCAAGGTGAGCGTGTAGGTGACAGGGCTCAAGGGGGTGCAAGGAAAGTCAGACCCATTAAGGGCACTGCCTCGTGGTCAGCCAGGACTCGTGTGGATGCCCAGATGAGAGAGGTCAGGAATTCCCCCATCTTCTCCCACATTAGGTTTCTCCCATGCTATCCCCCAGCCCCCCAGCCCCAAAAGCTTGTCCTCATTCTCATGGTGGAGGGAGGGAGGGGAGAGCAGGCAAGGAGGGAGGGAGACACAGAGAGGCATTGATTCCCCACCACCAAGTGTTACTTCAGGGGGACAGGAGGCCCCCTTCCACCCACCGTAGCCCCCACTGTAACTAGTTCCCTTAAACTCTCTTTAGAAGCCATCCAATGCTAGGGCCCCAACTGCCAGGGGAGCAAGTCTGTGCATGACACGTGGGGGCAGAGACAGGTGCAGCAGAGCAAAGACTCCCTCCCTGCCTCCCACCCCCCTGCCATTCCAGAGGTTTTCAGACTAGCGCTGCAGGAGAAGACAGAGGCAGGAGGAGCTTCGGAGGAAGGAGGCAAGGAAAAAGGAAACACAAAGGCAGAGTGCCGAGAGAGGACGGCTACCTCTCTGGGGTGCTTTCGAGGTATGCTTTTGTTTGAAACTATCTGAAAGACAGAAAGAACAGTTGTGAGAGGAAGGCACACACACACACACACACACACTCGCCCATGCACACATGAGCAGACACATGCGTGCACGCGTGCACAGACACACACACACACACACACACATATGAACGACAGGAGCAGCAGCTGCAGCATAAGAGCCCAACAAGGAGAGAAGCCTCCGCGCGTGGGGGTGCTTGGAGGGACAGAAAGGGGGGCAGGAGAAAGAGAGAAAACAGAGAAAGGAAGAGAGAAAAATTTGCATCCAAAAAACTGAGGTGGGGGCTCCAGGACCAATGGGCCCCACTGTGTGGCCAGCGGGATGCCTCCCAGAGTGTGCCCCCTTGGCACCGGAGGCCACCCGGCAGCTACAGGATGGAAGCATGTCAGAAGGGGGGATGACAGCTTGGGCCTGCATGCCAAGGTGGGCACAGTTCAGGCAGTGAATGCCTTCTTCCCTCCCCCCACCCCACAGAGGGCCTGCCCCGTCCTCCCTGCCCCCCACCCCCCATGCCGAGGTACTCACTGTCACACGCGTAGGGTTTGTCCCGATCCTCCAGGATGGCGGCGTCCAGCTTCTTACGGGCGTTGCTCACGCCTTTGCCCTGCCAATGGGAACAAGGAAGATTCTGTTACCCAGGATCTCAGGGCCTGGTTGGCTAAGCTTCCTCTGAGGTGGCCCAGAACCTCTCCACACTCAGTTGGGCTCCCCTTTTCCTGTGCTGAGCGCTGCAGGCGGCTGATAAGTCTCTGTGGGAGGAATGGGCTGGACCCCCCCCCCTTCTCATGCTGGGAGGGGAGGCGGGGGGGGGAGGGGGCCTGCTTCAGCTCACCTTGGCTTTGCCCTTGCCCCGGCGCTTGGGCGTGTCTTCTTCATAGTCCTCGTCGTCCAGATCGTCCAGAAAGTCCTCAGGCTCCAGGATCCGCTGGGGGAGGGGAAGGTTAGGATGGGCGGGGAGAGCAGCAAGGACCCCAAACCAGAGGGCCCGGGGGCCGCCCAGCTGAGGCTGCTGGACACGGCACGTGCCCCCTTGCCCGCTCAGCTATTCCCCTGCCGGTGGGAGACGGGCGTAACTGGGACGCCTCCCCCTCCTTTCCCAGGGTTCCCACTGAATCAGGGAAAGAACAAGCAGAAGTGGCAGCTGAGAGCGTCCGTGTTCCTGGACGGCTCAGGGAGGGACGTGACAGACAGACTCTATTGGCCTGCCCACCTCCCGCTGTGGAAGTCCCTCTGGCTGGTTTGCCCCAGGCTGCCCCAATGGCCTTCCAATGAGGGGCCACTTGTCCCCTGGGAGAGAAGCCGGTACCTTCCTTGCTCGGCTGTTAGTAACCGGGAACTCTCCCAGGCTGTCGTCATCCGCCTGGGGGTTGGGGGCGCCCCGCTTCTCAAGGGGGTCGGTGCGCAGCAGGGCCTCCAAGCTGCTTCCATCCTGGGAGATCAGTCCTTCCTTCTTCAGGGTCTGGTCTGTATCTGGAAGGGGAGCCAGGCTATACTGACATACGGACATAGCCCCGAAGTCACGCCCACTAGAAGTAAAGGGCCCTCTGCCCTCCACCTTCCCGGGACCCAAGAGTCTCCAGGTTTCCGACACGCTCTCCCCCTTCAGCCTGTTTCTCGGCCCCAGACCATGGCACTGCCCTGCTGGTCCACAGAAGAATACTGCCCCTACCTGGCTTGATGGACGGGAAGGTGAGTCGCGGGTCTTCAGGAGGGTGGGCTCGGCGCTTTTTCCGCCAACGCCGGGCAGGATAAGAGTACAATTGCCCTGAGGCCAGCCCTGTGGGAGATGATCTGGGTCAGTAACCTGAGAATAAGAACGCCTTCTGGGCCCAGAAGACTCCCTGCTCACTTTGAGGCTGGGGGGGGAGGGGGGGGACACAACAGGTAGGATTGCTGGGAGCTGGGTGGGAAAGGGAAAAAGTGAAGCAGAATCAGGTGTCGTCTGTCCACAGGAGGCCAGACTGGACATGCCTGAGCCTCACAGGACAGAGGCCTTATAAAGGAAGCAGAGAAGGGCCAGGAAAACCTCTCTGCCCCTCAGCCCACGCCAGGAGCCGGCCCTCACCTGGCCCCCGGTGTCGCTTCTCCATCCAAATGTAACAGTTGCTCTGGGCCACTCCAGTCTGGGAGTCCAAGAAGGGCAGGCGCACGCTCCGTTCAGCACACAGGCGAGCATTGTAATTGTGGCACTGCTCCATGGCATCTCGGTAGTACTGCTCCCCCAGGCTGTGGGGGGAGAGGAGAGGGGCAGGAAGCAGGGCTCACAAGCTGCCTCAACTCTTTCCCCGGCTCTCTGCTTCAAGGGAAAGCTCAAAAGGCACCTGGGACCCTTCTGACCTGCCTGCTCTCTCTTCTGCCTTAGAGGACACCGACTGAGCCGATTCAAGTGTCTTCCCGAGGAATCTAAGCTGGGTCAAGTCCCACCTGCCCTACCGGCCTCTGTGATGTTCTGGTTGTGGAGGCCCACAGCAGGAATTGCCTTAAACTCCATACTGTGATCTGATGAGCTCTCGACAGCTTGGTGCTTTAAGCAACTGGAAAAAGTCCCCAGCCCCAAACCCAAACAAACAGAAAGACAGCGGCAGAAATTCGCCAGCCTGCTTAGTTCAGTGAGCTGTAATGACTGTGATTTGAGGTAGGCCTCTTCTGTGAGGAGGAGGCAATGGGTCCACGTTAGCCTGCTTTCAGAAATCGCCACCGGTGAGGAAAACTGGATAAACAAAGCTGAAGAGCACAGCTCCTTTGTCTCCACTGATGGGAATTGAGAGCGACATTCAGAAGGAAATGGAAGGAGAGCCGGGAGATCCTGGGGCTGCCATGTAAGATGCTGGGGGCCGGGCTGCTTGCCTCCGGCACACACCAGGACATGGGCCACACGGCTTTTTAAAAGAACACCATGTGTTCGGGAAAGGGCAGAGAATATAGCTCCTAATGACTGGGGAGGAAGAGGGGAGAGAGGGCTCCCTGGACAGAGAAGGCTCAGGCAAACACAGATTCCCAGACCCTCTGTTAACCAGCCAACAGAGGGAGATGGGGGCCGGTGGGCAGCTCCCTTACAAAAGCCCTCAGAAGGAGATTCCCTTTTCATGCCAGGCTGGGGAGAGACCCAGCTCATGAAGCCCATCAGAAATGAAGCCCAGAAGCGTCCTGTTTCTCAAACTAAGACTGAACTCCCCTCCCCTCTCCCCCCCCAAACAAAAACAAACAAAAAACGGACCAGCCCATTGATGGCAGGGGAAGAAATAAGGCAACAACAGTTGCTTTGCTGAGTGGGGATCAAGAATAGGAAAAAGGTGGAGTTCCCTTCTTTGGAAGAGAAGCCTGGGCTATAACAGACTTCAACTGTCATCAGCAACCCCCAGCAGATGGTACTGAGGAGGAGGTAGCTGGCTCCCCACTGCAAGGGGACAAGAAGCTCAAACCCTACCTCCCAAGACTACCTGAATCCCAGAGGTGAGATGGAGAAACCAAGGCCTGTCTCAGGAGGTCAGCCAACTGCAGGAGGTGCCCTGACCACCCCTCGAACCTCACCTGAAGGTGCCTGCCGCCACCCCGCCAGAAAGGACGGGTCAATGCCAAGAACCTTCCCTTTTCTAACTTTTCTTTCCCTCCTGCCTTCTTTCTATGCTCCTCTTAGGATCTGGAAGAGTCAGCTTTTCTCAGAACAGCAGGATTTCCCTTTAAGTCAGTATGAAATCTATGAAACCCCTCCGGTCCCAGCGAGGTGGTAGGTACAAACCCAAGGGAGAAAATGGAAAAGGGGGAAGAGAACCTGTGTCAGGAAGGACAAAGTGGGAGATTAGCACGATCATCTCTAAACTAAGGGAAACCTCAGCCTGAGGAGAGACTGAGGAAAAGGAGTGGGCAGATCAGAGAGAAAGAGAATGATGGAGAGAGATGGGTAGGTGGCTGAGAAAGACAACAAAGGAGCAGAAAGGAAGCACCCCCCCCCACCCAAACCAACCCAGGAGAGGGAGCTCACCCAGCTGAATGGCAGTGGGCATGCTCCCCCTCACCGGAACGGCTCCAGTCCAGAGGAGAGGCAGGGAGTGATTTCAGCCCACCACAAAGCATGGGTACAGCCCTGAGAGTCACCCTGGAAAAAACTCTTCCAACTCCCTGCACCCACTTAAAATGAATGGCTGGAAATCTACCTGGCATCTAGAGAATGGAAGTTCTGCCGACCCTCCACTGAGTGAGCTGCAAATTCAAGCCCCACTCAGAGCTAAGCTGCCAGGTAAGAAGCCAAGACCACTTCACCCTTCACAGCAGCTGGCACTTAGGCGACGCCTCTAACCCTGGCCAAAGGCACAGAGTGAGCTCTTTGTGATTCAAAGCAGTCCACCACAACTGCCCCCTAGGAATACAGAGGCGGATGCCTGCCACATGGCCCAGCAGGTCAGGATGGGCCCAAGAGCTTCCCCCAGCAGCATTCCCCCATCTCTGTGGCCCCTTCCCACTTCTGCTACCTTCCTCTGTGCACCTGGTTTTTGCAGGAAATTCATTCCAGAAACCCAATTAGAAGGGACCCGTTTTTGTACTCAAAACTCCCCTACTTGGGTAACCACACAGCTCAGGTACAGCCACATTTTCCTTATTTCACAAAGTGAGTTTTGTTGCTGTGTTGGGGCCAACTTCAAACGATATTCCTGGCTTCTTTCAAGAAAGGAGGTCGGGGAGTGAAGCTAATCGGCAAGGTCAGTAATGACCGCTGGGGGCTCACCTTGGTGGGTCCTTGTGCGGGCAGTGCCCAGGGCCAGTCCCTCTAGAGGAAGGGTTATGGGATGCCTTACTCTCTCGGAGGTCTCACGTCTCCTGAGGACTTTGCAGAGCAGCCCAAGGTGGGTGGGTGCTGTCATTTAAGCAGCCCCCACAGAGGTCCTCCCCAAATGTCCCCAGGAGGAAAGAAGCTCCTTGAGGGCAGGCAAGTGTCCAGATCCTCAGCATTCAGCAGGGATATCGATGGTGAAATGGTCTGAAGGGCAGCGACCTTCTGACCCTTCGTCGATGTGTGGGGGCAGGGGAGCTCTGGCTAAAGGATGGCTACCCTTTCTGACCTGGCTGGACAATGCAGTGTAATTCATCACGCGGGGGCCAGTAAGGGACCTGATTTTGCATCCTAACTCAGCTTCTGACTGCCTGGAGGGCTCTGGATAAGTCACAGTCCCGCTCTGTGCCTCAGTTTCCCCACCTGTCAAACAATGATTTGGACTACGTGGTGGTCACTAAGACCCCTCCCAGCTCCAGAGCCTGCGACCTTGAGATGCTGGCTCTCTCTGTGACCTCGGACATGGCACTGCCGGCGGTGCCTCAGTTTACCTCCTCGGTTAGATCGGAGGGACTGGGCCGGGTGGCCTCCCCCTTACGTTCCCTTCCCAGGCGCCAGAGCTCGGGCCTCAGTTTCCCCCTCGGAGGCGCGCCTGGCCGCAGCGGGCCGCGCGCGCGTCCCCGCCGGAAATGCTCGCGCCCGCGGCTGCCACGCGCCCCGTCCCGGCGCTCAACGGCCTCAGCGGCCTCGGCCAGGCCGGGCCGCCCCGCACCCGCCCCGGCGGTGCCTCCGCGCAGGCCGCCGCCACGCCCCCCCCCTCCGCGGTCCCGAGCCCGGGCCCGCCCCCCGCCCGCCCCGGCTCGGAAGAGAGAAGGCGGTCGCCACTCACAGCTTCACTACATTCTCCACCACGGCCGCCATCTTCCCTCCTCCTCTCCCTCAGCCCGGGAGCCCCCGGGGCCGCAGTGCGCAGGCGCCCAACCGGGAGCGCGCTCCTGCGCGCTCCCCGCCCCCGCCCCCGCTGCGACCCCCAGCGCGCAGGCGCACGGCCGGGAAAGCACGGCTGCTCCCTGCGCTAGCACACAAGCACAGGGGTCGTAGAGCGCGCCCGCTCCCCGGCCCGCACCGCGGACACAGCGCGCAGGCGCCGAGTCCACAGGTCTCGCCCACTCCACCCCACCCTCGGCCCAAGCACCAAACAGAAGCTCTCTCGGTCTCCTCCGCCTTTACGCCGAAGCCCGCGGGTAGTTCCCTGCCCCAACGCGCAGGCGCCAGAAAGGTCGGCCATCTTCCCCACTTTCCCTACCCCTACCCGCCCCAGCTCAATCACGCAAGCGCCGCAAGATAGGCCAGGGACCCATTTTCCTATTACCAAGAGCCTAGCCCGTACCGGGCGAGAGGAAACAGAACCAAGCCAATGCGCACGCGCTGCGTTCCAGCCTGGTAAAGTCTTGACGCAGGCGCGCTGAATCCCTAGATTCATGGACTCGGGACGGCGAGTGAGTCCATTTCCTGGGGCTCTTGCTGGTCGTCTTTCCCTTCACCTCCAGGGCTCTCTGGGGTCTCCCCAGTTGTGGAAGGGACGACCAAGGCGGGAGCGAGGAGGGAAAAATAATTGCAATTAAAAACAAGAACCTGAACTTTTCCCTCTGCAGTGGGCCGGAGTCACCAGGCAGCCAGCATTTATTAAACGTCTACTGTTTACCAGACACTGCTAAGCTGGGCACATACAGAAGGGCAAAGCCCAGTCTGCCCCCTGAGCCTGCCCCTCCGCCCACCTCCTCCTCCCGGGAATTTGCGGGCACGGTCATCGCTTTAAACTGTTGTCAGGATGCGCCAATTTAAAAAGTTACATTGTTCTAATTTTATATAGTCTCTCTAGCCTGGTTACTCTGTATCTCCTTTGTATGTTTGTATATGCGTTTTTTCTCCCGTTTTTCACAGCAATTTTATTTCCGAATATAACCAGGAGGTTGCTGGTAATGTTTAACAACAGGAGTTTCCAGGGGGGGAAAGTTTGCACAAACACTTTTAAGTTAAATCTGATTATTTACACTTTTAAAATCTAGTCAATTAAAATAAAGCAAGCACTGATTTGTAGGGATTACCGATTTCCGAGGTGTAGCTGCTCACCCTCCTCACTTTTTCCCTCCTACCCAGACAGCCATCTCTTATTAACAAGAGAATTAAAAGGAAAGAGAAGAAAAAGGTTCAGCTGTGTCTGACAGGAGCTGCAACATTCTACACTCTAGAGTCCCCAACCTCTGCAAAATCACTTAAGTCCAATTCACCTTCGTGTCCTGGCATCACCTCCCTTATGTCATGGTCGTCTCCCAGAAGGCAGGACAAACAACACTGTTGTTAACCATTCAAACCCTCTTATTTATTTAGCTTCGAGGCAGTTGGGGTTAAGTGACTTGTCCAGGGTCACATAGCTAGGACGTATCAAATGTCTGAGGCTAGATTTGAACTCAGATCTTCTTGACTCCAGAGCTGGTGCTCTATCCACTACCCCACCTAGCTGCCCCAAACCCTCTGATTTATAATTTTTAACTTTGGGGAAAAAAGCCCCTAAAGGTAAAAAGTTTTATTGATGCTCAGTGGAGAGACCAGATCTAAATTCCTAGAAATAATTAACTACTGGCCATTAAAAGCACCACTTAATGGTGATTTCTTTGGGTCTCGGTTTCCTCAGCTGTAAAATGAGGATTTGGGAAACGGATGACCGCTGAGCTCCCTTTCGGGCCTGGATCTAGAATCTTATGAACTTTTGCTGACTGACCCACTTTCCCCACCCTCTGCCTCTGACCGTGCTTCCCTACTTTGGGCTCTGGCTAGGTAGATAATGGTAGCGAAACAGCCCTAGATGCACCGGGGACAGGCTCTGGCCAAGTTTCTGCCGCTGGTATCCTCCCTTCCCCAACTGCAGACTTTTACCTCTTGTCCTGATGGGACGCTTGGGTGCCTGTGCTTAGATCCCGATTTCTCCCTGGCCTCAGCAACACCATCCCTGGCAGTTTCCCTCCAGCCCAAGGACCCTGTCTCTGGCAGTGACTCATACGTGGGCCAGTGAGGCAGACCATTTCTCCCTGTTACAAGAACGAGTTGACCACTGTAGAATTTCTCTTGTCACCAGAGCTGTCATCATGTACTGGATGCTCACAGTTATGTATGCAATGCAGAGGTCAAGCTATAGACGTCAACTCCCGAAGCTCTCTTGTTACAGACCAAAAAGACAGCCTTTAGGAACCCTCTCTTGCCCCATCCCTGAGGTGTCCAGTAGTGAATGATATAGTTGTACGTTATCACCGTATTAGCTTGGTTGGCACATAATTCACTACTTTTCCTTTATAAGCTTTAGCATCATTCCTGTTAGGTTGCAAGTTCCTTAAGGATCTCTGCCCACTGTATGGCATAACGATAAATCTTTGCCACCTTGACATAAAGAATGCTTGAGTCTGTGAATTCATTCCAGATGATCCTGTCCTGTGCTTTGAGGGGTCTCTAAACCTCTCAGACCTCAGCATTCCCACCTTCTACCTGAAGGCTTCTGGATCCTCCTTTAATGCCACTGTCTTCTTCCTGTCAGCTCCAATTTCTCCCGTAATTAATTTGTTGGTTTATAGTTGTTTGCACATTGTCTCCCCCCCCCCCATTAAACAGTAAGCCCCTTAACAGCAGGGACTGTCTTTTAGCATCCTCAGCATTAGCACAGTACCTAGTATATAGTCTGGTATGTGCTTATTACATGTTTATTAATTGACTGTGCTGGGAACAGTAATCAATCTATACTCTACTATCCCTCAAAAGGATGAGTTCTTCGATTGTTTGTACAACAGACTTTACTCACCATTCTGAAACTTCCCCGACCCAAATGATGCTCTCTGGGCCACCACTTCCCTGTGAATGTTGTGTTCCCTTAGAATGGAGGAACCAAGATGGCAGAGTAGCGGGAGGCCTCACAGCCAGTGTTCCTCACTTCCCCCAAGCAGAACTAGAAAATGTGCCAGATCTAATGCGGATGCAGAAATCCAAGAAAAAAAGTCACAGTGAGTTGTTTTACCAGCCCAATTTGGTCTAGGGAGACAGACAGAAAGGGGTCTGGCCGGAAGCGCTCCAGTCTTATGGACCAGGGTGAGAGGAGGTCAGAGCCACTCCTTAGTGGCAGGACAGGAGCAGGTGACAATGCTACCTAGTTCCAGGTCACAGATCAAGGTGGATGGAGGAGGGGACCTGTATGCCAGCAGGGCTGGCATTCTGGGATGAGGAACAGTAGAGGGCCTCAGTGTATTTAGAGAGAAACAACAACAAAAAAATTAATTTTTTTTTAAAAAAAAGTGGCAGCTCAGTGGTGCAGTGGATAGAGCACTGGCCCTGAAGTCAGGAGGACCTGAGTTCAAATCCTGCCTCAGACCAAACACTTGACACTAGCTGTGTGACCCTGGGCAAGTCACTTAACCCCAATTGCCTAAAAATTAGAGAGAAGCAAGTTCAGGCAGCAGCAGCAGCAGCACTGGTATAGCTCAGGATCTCAGTTCTAGCTTTTAGCCCAGCCCGCAGAAGAATAACCAGGGCGGGAATCTCATACTGAGGAGGAGCCTATAATTCTGTCACTCTGAACTCACCGAGCTTTCCAGCTAGCTGTTAGGAGCTGATTCCAGCAGCATCTGCTATTGCTCAGACCCCAGCTCAGATTGGGGGTAGGCTGGGCTGGGCTGAGGAGCGCAGCCATTAGATTTTGCTTTGGATTAGACCACTTTGGAAGCACTGAAAGCTTGTGGGTTTCCAGCTTGAATTGTCCCTGAGATCCTGGAATAACACAACATTCAGTACCCTAAGAAAGCAGCAACAGGGCCAGTTCAGATGTTCCCTCTAGAAGTGCATAGAGTCTGGCCCTAACACAGGCCTGAAGCCAGGAAATAGGCTAGAAAAATTAAAAAAAAAAAAGGATCCCACTATAAAAAGCTGTTATGGTGAAAGGGATGCTGTTGCAAAGGCAGAAGAAGAGAATGACTCCAAAACATCTCCAAGCAAAGCTTCAAGAAAAACACAACCTGAGTACAAATTTAAGTAGAATTCCTGGAAAAAGAATCATGGGTAGGCCAAGCTAATACAATAAAAATGACAATTCTACCTAAATTAATTTACTTATTCGGTGCTATACCAATCAAACTACTAAAAAATTATTTTATAGAGCTAGAAAAAACAATAACAAAATTCATCTGGAAGAACAAAAGGTCAGAATATCAAGGGAACAAATGAAAAGAAATACAAGGGAAGGCAGCCTAGCTGTACTAGATCTTAAATTGTATTATAAAGCAGCAATCATCAAAACTGTTTGGTACTGGCTAAGATATAGAGTGGTGCAGTGGATAGGGCTCTGGCCTTGGAGTCAGGAGGACGTGAGTTCAAATCCAGTCTCATAGACATGACATGTACTAACTGTGTGACCCTGGGCAAGTCACTTAACCCCTATTGCCTCACCAAAAAAAAAAAAGAAAAAAGAAATAGATTGGTGGATCAGTGGAATAGATTAGGTATGTAAGACACAACAGTCAGTGACTACAGTAATCTATTATTTGATAAATCCAAAGACTCCAGCTTCTGGGATAAGAAATCACTACTTAACAAAAACTGCTGGGAAAACTGGAAAATACTATGGCAGAAACTAGGTATAGACCAACATCTTACTCCCTATACCAAGATAAAGTCAAAATGGGTACATGATTTAGATATAAAGACTGATATTATAAGCAAACTAGAAGAGCAAGGAATAGTTCACCTATCAGATCTATGGAGAAGGAAAGAATTTATGACCAAACGAGATAGAGAACATTATGAAATGCAAAATGGATGACTTTGATTACATTAAATTGAAAAGCTTTTGCACAAAGCCAATGCAACCAAGATTAGGAGGGAAGCAGAAAGCTGGGAAACAATTTTTATAACCAGGGCCTCTGATAAAGGCCTCATTTCTAAAATACATAGAGAACTGAGTTGAATTTATAAGAATACAAGTCAT